CTAAGCCCGTGCGCCACAACTACTGAAGCCCACGCACCTAAAGCCCGTGCTCTGCAACAAGAGAAGCCACCGCAGTGAGAAGCCCGCACACCGCAACGAAGAGTAGCCCCTGCTCACCGCAACTAGAGAAAGCCCGTGCACAGCAACGAAGACCCAACGCAGCCAAAAATAAATGAATAAATAATTAATTTTTAAAAATCCCTTAAGAAAAAAAAAGCTGCCATTGGTCCCAAGACCCTTTCCCCATGTCCAGTCCTCACCCCCACTGCTCTCTGTCACAGGGTGAGGGGATTCCAGGAAATCTGGGTCCAGCTGTGCCCAGGAGGACCTACTGCCGGTGTGTGACTGTGTTTAACAGATAGAGTTACTGGGTCCCTGTGTGTGAAGGGAGGCCCGTGTCACAAGGCACTTGGCCAGCCCCTGTGTGTGTCTGTGTCTGACCTCGTGTGTGGGAGAATGCCTTTTTGAGCCTCTGTTCCTTTCTGTGACTGTGCGTGTGTGCCTGTGAGGTGCCTGCGTTTGGCTCCACCTCTTTGCCTGTGCACACCTGTTTCCCTACTCCTTTTGTCTGGGCCCCAGCAAAATCACATGCAGTCACTTCTCCCCACCTCATCTCACTTTCTCTCTCAGTCCACCCTGGTTGGTCTTTGTTCTTCATTCCCTGGAAATGGCCCTTTCCTAGTCCCCAGAGCCCACAAGCTGGGGGTTGGCTCCCTGTCTTCAACTTACCTTTCCCCTCCACCAACCAGGAACTCCGCTGACCAACCCTTCCTTTTGAAACCTCCCCCAGCCCAAGTTTTCTCCCCACCGCAACGGCCGCCTCCTTTGGGGCCTTTAAATGTCAGCAGGCACAAGCCTCCGCTCCTTCGCCGTCTCCTTTCTATTTTTTTCCCAAGTTCCAGTCCCCAGGCTGTAAACACCATGGAAACGCTCTCTTCTGACCCCAACTCCCACCCCTCCCGAACTCCCCCAGCCTCCATCTGTCTCCTTTATCTCGTCCCATCTGTCCTGGCACGTCTGCCCTTACACTTGACATCCACGTCAGGCCTCTCTCAGATCTACCTCCTCACAGCCTCCGGAAATGGCAGGAACATCTAGCTGCTCAGGCCCCAAACCTGGGAGCCATCCTGGGTTCCTATTCTCCCCTCACACCCAGCAGACTGGCCAGCGGCTGGTTCATCCGGGCCCCTGAGCCTGGCCAGCCCTCTCACAACTCCTGCCCTGCTCTGGAAAGCAGCCTCTCACACCAACTGGCAGCACGAGCTCCTCTCTCCATCTCCTTGGTCCCTACATCCATCCTCCCGCCGTAGCCAGAGGGATCTTTCAACCATAAATCAGATCATGCCACTCCCCTGCTTCAAACTTTCCAGAAGCTTCCCTAAAATCAAATCCCCAGTTGCCTGTCCCTCTGGCTGCATCTCCTATCACTGTCCCCAGTTCTCACTACATTCCAGCTACAGGATTCTTGTGTCTCTCAAGACGCGGACCTCATTCTAGTGTCTGGACCTTTGCACTTGTTGTTTCCTTTGCCTGGAAGCCTCTCCCCTACATCTTCCCATGGCTCCCTTTCCACATTCCTGACTCAACCAAAATGGCACCTCCCTCCGCCCTCGTTGTGGGCAGGACACCCCACCTGGCACAATGCAGCCTCAGCAGCTTAGTGCGGGGTGGGGGCACAAGGACCTCTCCAAGGCCCCTCCCCTTAGACTTCTCTGGGTCTCTAGAAAGTCTCTCATAACTGCCCTACTCCAGAACCGCCCCACCCTGTAATCTGTGACCCGAGGCCCGGAGCGGTGGCAGTGGGGCCAGGGCCTGGCCTGGGGTCCAGATGAGCAGCATTGTTTTGTGTCTGGTGTGGACAAGCTCCATGGGATCAAGCCCTTGGCACAGAGAGAGGAAACTGAGGCCCAGAGCAGTGATCACAGGCAGCCAGTATGCTACAAGGACGAGAGGGTACCCGGCCTCTCCCTTCATCCTCCGGAGCAAGAATGGAGCTCTGTCAACCGCTCCTCCGGTTCGGCCACCCTCCCACGGATCCGGGCTTGGAGTCAGAAGGGGACTGAGCCTGGCTTGCCTCATCCAGCACCGACCTGGCCATGACCCCCTCGTACCACTGACCTCTTCCTGCCCCGGGACGCCGCGACCCGCCTCCACCCTCGCCCCGCAGCCCCGCAGGTTCCCAGGGTTCTCAGCGCTACTCTGTTCCTCCCCCCCCCCCCCCCCCAGCGCCGGCTTATCTCCGAAGGCCCAGCCCCCTCGGCACCAAAGTTGACAAAGGCGTCGGAGAGCCTGGGGTGGGCGGGGCAGGCGCTGGATGCCAGCCCCGCCTCAGGCCCCGCCCCTGCAGGCCCCGCCCCCACGTTACCTGCGCTCTGGTTCCCACCTCGGCGTCCTGGTGTCCCAGGTTTCGTCCGAGTCCCTCCCAGGCAGGTGCAGGATGTTGCCTCTCGTGGAGACCGGGTCCCAGGTGGCGGAGGGGCGCCCCTCCGGAGCGCGGACAGGACCTGGGCCGGGGCTGCCTGACCAGTGTCCTGGATCCCTGAATCCCTGGATTCCAGGGACCTGGAAACGTCCGGTCCTACGCCCTTGAGGAGAGCGGCCTTGGGCCCGCGTGGATCCCCTCTCGCCCCCCACCTGGCTGCAGGCCGCGGAGGAGCAGTGACACAGTAACCGGGGCGCGCACGGTCCGAGAGCGACTCCCCCGAGGGCGCCATGGGAACGGCCAGGGCCCGAGGAGATGGAGCCTGTCCTGTGCCTGCGGGGGGCCACCACTCTAATGAGCCGTGTGGAGTGCCCGAGGCCGAGGACGGCCCAGAGAACAGCCCTAGGTCTCTGCGAACGAGAAGGTGCCGATGCCTTGCGTCTCCGTGGCGGGGAATGCGTGGCCTTGCGCAGCCCCCGTGCACCACCCCAATTAGACACAGCTGGGGCCAGGACGGTACCCTCCCTACCCCCTCCTCCCGCCAGGTGAGGTGTTCCCGGTGGCTTGTGCGATCCACTGCTCCAATGTGAAGTGGGGGTAGCTACTCTGCTCCCCACCTCACTGTAAAAGCAGGGAGCTGTCAGGCAGCTGGGGCTCTTATTGGGACCCCCTCCTCACCCCTGCCTTGGGAAAGACTCCCAGTGTCCATATGGTGTTTTCTGTGTACTTTTCTGAGTTTCCTGAATTTTCTGCAATGAATACATAACATCTTTCAGGTAAAGCAATATATGTCATTCCCCCTAAGCCCTGCCCATAGCTCCTCTGCCATACCTGGAGGTGTCAGGCCTGGAAGAGTTTTGGGGGACTTTCTTCTCTTCCATAGCCAGAGTGGAGGTTCTCAGCCCAGGTTGCACCTTTGAATCATCTGGGCACGTAAAAATATGATGCCCACCCTTAGAGAGCTGGGCTGGCACGGGTCCTCTGAATAGGTGGGAAGGGAACAGGTCATCAAGAGGTCACTTGCTTGGGACCTGGCATACTGAGAGTTCACCTCCTGATGTTTTCTTGTTTGAGCACCTATCACTTCTGTATTCCAGGACCCGGGTAGGAGGCTGGGGAGGAGTGGCTGGGGAAAGCCCACCTGGGAAGACAGTCTGCTGAGCTTATGGATAAGCGGCATAGTCTGTGTAACCTGGGATGCTGGCGTGGCACACATCTCCTGTGCCAGGGCTGCCTGCAAATCAACAGGCTGCTCACGGCCCAGATTCACCAACTGGCATGGCCACTAGCCTGATCTCCAAGGAGAACACACTGGACCCTCAGGCCTTCGGGAGGAGGCTATGTGGGCTCTAGGTTCTCCACCCCACACCTCCCTTACAGCACCCTCTCCTAACCCAGTGATTCTCAGTTCTGGCTGCCCATTAGAAACCTGAGGGCCCTTAAAAATACAGATCCTCAAGTCCACCCCAGACCATTTAAACCCAGCTTCAGGGGCAGTGACAGTTCTCAACCATTTGTTTGCTTGTATGCAGAGGTGGGGCCTGGGGGCAATGCCAGAGAAGCCAAGGGGAGGGAGAGGGCTAGGGAGCTGAGCAAAGGAGAGACAGAGGGACAGAGAGGGACACAGCCTAGGAATCCAGACCAGGGAGGAAGCTGGGGTGACCGCTCTGGCTGGCCAGGAGCTCTACTGCAGAGAGGGCACCTAGGGGCATGGCACAGACTAACTAGGGGGTGGGGGGGTTTGGGGTGTGTCTCTGGGTAAATATTAGGTTTCCTGGCCTGATATAACACTGTGCCCTGTGTTGTTTGGGATGAATATACATGCCTGGCAGAACCCTGTATCCCTGTGACAGACAAAATAGACTGCAGAGCATTGTCTCACTGGCCTCTGTTTTCTCATCCACAAAATGGGGATAAGACCTATCTGCTGAGATTGTTGACCCTGGTGTTTTCTGTTATCTGAATTAGGTATCATTATGAAGAAACAGTTCCTAGAGTGGTGAGGCTGTGCCCAAGGCTCTGCCGGGACTTCCTAGCAGAGGGGCAGGGCGGGGAACTTGTCACCCCTTACCTTCTCATACAGAGGGGCTGGCTGAGGGCAATGTTTCTGGATGTCCCAGTGCAAGAAAACTGTTTTGGATATCCTTACTCTCTTCCTGGGTCCTTTGCCATGCTTCATCTGATAACCACAGCACCTGAGCCAGCGTATGCGAGGGCTATGGGTTTAGGTACCACACTCAATGCCTGTGGCTCTGAGGGGCTGGGGTGTGGGCTGTGGTTTCCTCAGGCTGCACTTGGAAGCCTGTTGGTAGGGCTGGAGTCCTTGGGGGAGGATGGTGAGCCAGACCACTTCTGTCTGGGGAGATGAAGCCAGGGTCCTAACACTGGGCAGAGTGGTTTCCTAGCTCCCCTTGGAGTCAAGGTCCGTGGCTCCTGAGATCCTGCTCCCATTGGCCCCTGCTCTTCAGAAGCTGGGGCACCGGGAGACCCAAGGTGCCGGTGTGAGGCTGTGCAGCTGGGAGAGAACAGAGAACAGAGTGAGGAGAGGTGCTAAGAAGCAGTCCACCCACAAGGGAGCGCAGTTTCATGTATTTATTTTTGGCAGGAAGGAAATCATTGCAAATCTCTTGACTGACAATGCTCGGCCCTGGAAACGTGCACATTCTACATGTAGTATTTCCCCAGTGATGCTGGATTGTTTACACATTCAAATGTCCAACAGAAATCCATGACTACCCAGACACCACCAGCATCTCCACCACTTGGGGGTGTGCGTGTGTGTGTTTGTCTATAGAGAAGCTCCCTAGAGAATGGAACAGGAACAGATACCATCAAATTTACAGTAAAATAGGAACAGAGGCAGCCAGTTGATTTTGCACAGGTATATGCAAGCACTTCAAACCATCCACTCTTCTCGAACCCTGGCATGCCAACTGTCCATCACAGCACCTTTAAAAGCAGAGGCACAAACGTCACGAGTGTTTGACCATAGGGCTGTGTGGTTCTGGATTTTATGAGAAAGCCATCTTTAACATACAGGGTCATAAAAATGTTGCCAGGTTATAGACTTATACAGATTTCCTTTTTATACCAAGTTCAAATGCTGCAACCATGACAAATCAGTGTCATTAGGGCATCCTCATGTCTCCAAAATCATCTCATCAAAATTGCACCACATCAAAGGAGTTTCCCCGTCAACCATCAGCTATGACACGTGGTGCTTCTTTTTAGGATACAGATGCATTGTTTACAAACAGCTAATGGGTGAAACCACGGACCAACATGTAGGATTCCAGAGCAATGGAAGACAGAGCAGTAACAACCTCAGGTGTGCCTGGGCACCTCCACTCAAGGCCCGGCCAGAGATGTGATAACATCATAGTCCACGAGCCACAGAATCCTGTTCCAGATCTTAATGTAAAAAATATTTTTCCAGGAGACTATATTTTAACCTGGTACCGAAAGGACCATGGAAACTCAAGAGGTCAGATTTCTCATTTGGCTAAAGAGTTGGGGGGTGTTTTGGTAACAATGGGAAGTATATGGCACAGAGAAATAGCTGATAGGTTTCATTAGGTTTTAAAGCCCACAATTTAATAAAAGGTAATAATTAAAAACAATACCCGTATTTACCTTAAAAAACATAAACCCCAAACATTCATCTCATTTCTTGGCCTTATGTTAGAATTCTATTGCTTCATTTACATGTAGATGATTAAAAATATATATATCGATATAGATATTTTGATTATGTACATAAAGCAGAATCAAGGGTTAAAATAAGGACGGAATTTTGGAGTGGGGTCAAATAAGGTGCACAGAATCCAGAATGCTCCGAGGGCCCGCTGCCCTCCTGAGACGTTCTGTGTCTGTGGTGGCAGGAACTGGGTTCCACCCCCGGCAGCTCTGCACTGGCTCAGTGCAATGGTGCTCACGGTTTCAGGAATGACCAGGTGAAGTGTCTGGCTCAAGCCTGCCAAGTGTCTTCACTCCATCGGAAGTGGGGCACGACTCCTAGGTTTGATTCCCGTGGAATATTCTAGGATTTCAGTCCTCTCTGCCCCCTATTCCAAATAAGACCTTGGGATGCCAACAAAGAAGGGGGCACAGGTGAGGTTCTAAGGCTCTCATCAGGACTGATTTCTGTGTGGATGTCAACACATGTCAGACACTTGACTGCAACATTCAAGACATTTAAGGCAGTGGGTTCATTTAATGACTAGTTTTCCAAATCAAGGTGTATGGCATGTGCAGACCTGCCACGTAACTGTTATTTTCTGTAGTCATGCCTTGCAAGGGGCTCTTTCTATTTTAACTGGCATGTGGATTACTGGGTTTGGAACACTCAGAGCATGGGGAGACCTGGTTACCCCTGAATACTTACTTCTCTTCTGAAAGCACGGCAGTCTGCAGACCAAAGTGCTGTTGGGAGGACGTGATTGGCAGCTGGCTTCACTATTTTATGAATGAAAGCAGAAAAGAAATTTTACTTTGACAGCTCCCCGCCCCCCACCGTTTTCCAGTCTTCTCAGTGCCAGTCACTCCCACCAGAACTCCGGCCCGACCCATAGAGGACTAAGGCAATGGTGCCAACATGAAAGGGTTCTTTTAAATTATCTTTAAGAGCAATACTTTATAGACTGTCTTATTGTCAAACGAGGAACATGGCACTGCTTAAAAGATCTCACTGGGAAAGGCTGCAAAGGGAGCCCCGGCTCAGGGAGGGGGCCCTTCCTCTCCTTGGCTCTGGGCGATGGGTCCCACATCTAGATGCGTTTCCCCAACCCTCGGCTCAGAAATAGGCTGTGCTTCAAAAGAGAAGACCAAGAGATGGACTCGGGCCACATCAGCGTGGTGGTGGGTTGAGGGCACAGGCTCTCAAGAGAGAACAGTCGGCTTATCAGAAACTCTGAGCTTGACTGCCGTTTGAAATGAACGCCACACCGGTCAGGTGCGCTGGCCCTTTTGTCTTTGTTCCCTTCTGAACTCCCAAGACTGGTGCCAGGGAAGGAACGCAGTCCACAGTCTGCAACGGGGTGGGACACCTATGTTTCTGACCCTGTCCAAGTCTGCAGCTTAGCAGTGAGCAGATTCTGAGCGTAGGCACAGTGGCAAAGAACAGTGTAACAGCCGCTGGTCAATTCCATTTGGTGGCAGCACGGTAGCAGCAAAGAAAATTCCCAAACAGCTCCACGGGTATCCAGCTTTTGGAAAGGACAGATTTAAAAATCAATCAACAGATTTTTTTTAAACTATCCAAGGGTTTTAGAGTTTCTTAGAACTGTTCTACCAACAACAACCAAACCAAAAACATACAGAAATATGGCAGTAGTGTGAAAGCGGAAGTGACATGATGCCACTTTTCCAGGGGAAACTGTGACCTCAAGACAAATTTGTCACCGTCAGAAACAATAAGAGTAATATAAAAGGATCTATCGTTTCCTAAAGCGTTGAGCCACACGATTGCGGATACATTCCAAACTGGGTCAGAAATGAATGTACACACTGACACCATCACAAAATCTCCTCGCAGGGGCCTGACCCTGCGGCATGCCACAGGCGGTCGGAGCAGCACACCCGCTGGGAGACAGGCTCCTATGACTCACCCCCATCCCTTACCACCCACCTCCCTCCCACCTTCCAGGTTTTAGAAAATTGTCATATTTATCTTCTTAGAGAAGCTAAGACAATAAAAGACCAAAAGATGTCTGGAAATACGTTGTATAGAAAAATTAACTCTCAGCTTAAAATAACATTCAAAAAGGCACTTCATCCTGTAGGAAAGAGATTCTGAGTTGGGTCAGCTCCTCTGAGCTGGGGTAGAAGGGGACAGGCTGTCTGCCGGAGGGGAGGACAGTTGAAAGGAAGTCTGATAGATATCAAGCTTTTTTTTTTTTTTTTCCCATTTTTTTCCTTTTTGGTATGTTTTAAGAAAAGCAAATCCAGTAAAATGCATGTCCCTTTACGAAATTCGTTAAAAGAGTTCATTTTAAAATAGTTGTTTCTGTTCTTAAAAAATAAACCAGGTAGGTATGGCCGCGTTCGCCCCGTGGCCTGGATTATGGCGTGTCCTCACTCTGAGCTCCTGGGGAGCTGAGGCCAGGCAGGTCCCGAGGCTGAGGTTCCAGGGTGCACAGGCGGGAGGCGGGCGGAGGCCGGGGCTACCTACTGCAGAGTCTGTGCAGCATGCTGTACACGTCGTCTTCCTGGCTCAGGCCCTCAAAGAAGGGGATGAGGTCCAGTAGCTCCGTGTCTGTCATGTCATCGAACCAGGACTGCACAGGCACCTGGAAGACAGTGCATGGAAGGGGCAGCAGAACTGTATCCAGGCCTGGGGGCCGCTTCTAGCCTGACTGGGTCCCTGTACTTTAACATTTTCTTTGGTAAGGAGGATGGGTACCTGGAAATCATCATCATCGTCACCTTGTTCGTTCTCCTGCCCCAACTAAAATCAATCTAGATCTACCTGGTTCAGGAAGGCAAAATTAAGTGTACCCACTTTGCAGGCATCTGCCTGTTTTGTTTGCCTGCCACAGAAAAGGTGGCCAGGGCGCAGAATATATAACTAGCTTAGCACCTTGCTAATTCCAAAACGCTCTTGCCATTGCATTAAACCAGCTTCTGGTACCTCAGAGCACTTGGAGCCAGAGGACACCAGCCAACACTGACATCAGGGAGCCCACATAGAAGGCATCAGAGGGCTTCCACTTAGGGTCACTGTGCCAGACTGCAGGGCAAGGAGAAGTGGACCATTTCCTCCCACGCTTAGCAGAGATCAGGTAAAAGGGGAAGTATAAAATTTCAGGACATTCTGAAGCCATGGGCAAGACAGCATTCTCCCTTAGGTTTAGACAGAGAGGTGGGGAAGGCTGCCAGTGGGTAATAGCCAGGGGTGCAAAGAAGAGATATTAAAAGAAATTTGGGGAAGCCAAAAAAGTTGAAAAGCAGTATTTTTGACCATTTAAAAAATCTAAAGACTGCTCAGAAACATAAAAATTCAGCATGTAATTTAAAAAAGAAACGAGGTAAGGATTAACCAAAAAAATGACTACTCCTGGGGAAGGGGCAGGAATGGGTGAGAGGGCAGAAATGGACACAAGACTTCTCTGAATTTATCTTTGTTTTGATGTTAAACTATGTAAATGTGTTACATAATTGAAATAAAATTAAATCATTAAGAAAAAAAGCAACAAAAGATGAACCTTAGTGTATATAAGTTTGTGACATAACCACAGAGGATTATTTCAAGTGATTCTGAAACATAGTGCTCTTTGTAGATTTCTCAAAAAAACAAAACCTCTAAATGCACTCAATTGTTTTATTATTAGTAATAATATTAAAACAATGCAATTCTGAAGCTATTAAATGTATACTATAGAATAAATCAAATCTGTAATGATGTTAGTATCTTTAGGAATCAAGAGTTTCAGCATAAGAGAAGGAGACACAAATACAAAAACAAATTAAATAAAAACCGTTACAACTGAATTGGAAAAACCAATGTGAATTTATGATTTTGTTTTCATTCTAAAAATAAAATTAAGTGTATTTTAGCTCTGTCCAGTAGAAAGGACTGGAAGCAAAGGACATCCCAGTAACAATGAGAACCCACCCAAACTGCAGTCTCTAGATACCATTTTCATTCTTAGGAATCAGGTTCCATAGAAAAATGGCTGATTCCAGGGCTGGAGCAAGAAATGGACAAGATGAGCTTACAACATCTTGCTGGACCAGAAAGCAGGAAGCTATCAAAGACTATTGTTATCTGAAGGGGAATCCACTGGCCAAAGTATACAAAAGGATAATAGATGGACTTAAGTTATAACATAAAAAAAAATCCATGAGTTCATAATGGTACCTAAAAAAATTCACTGGTTACTTTTGGAGGCTTGCTAGAGCACCAACGCATGACTCTGAAAACTGCAAAATTAATGAAAAAGAACCAAGACTTTACTCTGACTTCCCTATTCAAACATTCAAAATGAATTTTAGGGTAATCAAGTAGTCAATGAGAGCAAGTTCAATTAAAAAAAAAAAGAATTCCAGCCAATAAATGCAGAAAGAATGATAGGATTCAGAAATCACCATTTTGCAATTCCTAATGAAATAGTGGATATAGGTAAGGATCATCAACGACTGCTCACAGTCGTGAGCAGTCGTGAAAGGTCGATTGAAAATTTAAAAATGGATGGATCAGGCTGACAACACCTGAATCCAAAAATCAATTCAAAATCTTTAAAAGTGGGACAACCTGATGTTGTATGCCTCCTGATGTGATACCACAGCGAGTACACAATACCAAAGCAATGTATGGACCTTGTCTGGATTCTGACTCAAACAATCCAAATGTAAGAAAATATTTCGAGATGATAGGGAAAAGATGAACACAGACTGGATATTAGATAATATTAAGAAACTGTTAGTATTATCAGATGTGATAATGGAATTGGGATTTTTTTTTTTTTTTTTTTTTTTTTGGCCACGCCGCGAGGCTTGTGGGATCTTAGTTTCCGGACCAGGGATTGAACCAGTGCCCCCTGCAATGGAAGCGTGAAGTCCTAACCACTGGACTGCCAGGAAAGTCCCAGGAATTGGGATTATACTAAAAAGAACCCTTATCTGTTAGACACATTACAAAATGCATTATGTTGAATTTGATTAACTCATCAAAAGGAGCATATTTAAATATAATACATTTTGAATGTTTGTTCAAATAATGATTATACACTAATGGAATCTAGTTTGAACTCAGTTTTTGGTTATAAGTGGAGCAACAGAGTTCTGGCCTCAAGGAAAGGACCCTGTTTGGGCTTTTGTTGAGTCTGAGAAACATGGACTTGGGAGAAACATCCTCTCCAGGGCCTGAGCTGAGGCCTGGCATGGTGGCCACCATGGAGGGGTGAGCAATCACCAATGGGGCTGGTCTCTCTTCCCCTGGAAATGAAGGGCAGGCAGCAGGAGGGCGTCTCTCCTGCTCTGAGTCATGATGCACCCAGAGAGTCGGCACTGGGAGCTGCCACACTCCATGGTTTTGGTTTTGGTTTTGGTTTTTTTTTGCGGTACGCGGGCCTCTCACAGTTGTGGCCTCTCCCATTGCGGAGCACAGGCTCCGGACGCGCAGGCTCAGCGGCCATGGCTCACGGGCCCAGCCACTCCGCGGCATGCGGGATCTTCCCAGACCGGGGCACGAACCCGTGTCCCCTGCATCGGCAGGTGGACTCTCAACCACTGCGCCACCAGGGAAGCCCTCCATGGAGTTTTATGTAGGAAATGTTCCCGTTGTCTACTTTTTAGACATCATTATGAGGTGGTAAAGCCTGGCAGTCTTATCTGAAGACCTCATTGAAGTGCTATTCATTCTTAATACTTCTGTTGAAGAGGTCACCCAGGCCTTCTAAGTCCACAGGGGTCATGAAGTCCTGGGCAACAGCCAGCTCCAGGAAGCTAATGACAGAACCTTCCCGGTCACAATCCTAAAGATGCTAAGGAGATACAGGCTCATTGAGCCTGCAAGCTCTGCTCTAAGTGCTTTTCACGTACTGCCACCCAATCCTCCAACAATCCTATGAGATCAGCATGCCTATACTCCCCATTTGACAGAGAGGACAACTGAAGCTCAATGGGCATAAATAACTTGGCCAATGTCACGTAATTGCTAAGTGGCAGAGTTGGGATTTCACCAAGGAAAAGGCCAAGAAACCCTGCACAGGGGCTTGAAGGTACAAAAGTGGTTCTGCCTGGCAAGAGAGCTCAGATGGAGCTCTGCGTCCTTTTGCTTTGGGGCTACTTACTGCATTCTCAGGATGGAAGATGTACGAGGCAGGAGAATTGTCCACGATGATCACTTTGCTCAGCTCCCGCCCAAGGCGACTCAGGTCTTTCACATAGTTCCCTCGATGGAAAACACATGATTCTCGGAAGAGCCGGGCCCGGAACACACCCCAGCGGTCCAGCAGGTCAGCCACAGGGTCTGCGTACTGGAAAGCAGGTGTTACAATGAAGCCTGGGAGCCTGGATGAGCCCAGAAGCCCTGACCTCCTGCAGCAAGATCCGTACTACTTTTCTAAAAAGGGATTTAAATAACTGGATGTGTTTCAAGATCCTGGTTATTTCCCTGACACCCTGGATTCTTCCATTTCTCTCACTTCTCATATCCAATCCATCAGAAATTCTTGTCAGTTCCAGCTCCAAAAATATCTTGAATCCACCTGGATCTCTCTGTATTGTCACTGCCTCGTCTGGGCCTCTGTAGTCTCTGGCCTGTGGTGGCTGCGTGAGCCTCTAGAATAGCTTCCCTCTTCCCCTTGGGCCTCCTTTCCACCCCTTCACCCCACAGCTGTCAGAGCGGCCGCTGGAAGACATCTGTCACACCACATCACTCCCTGCACTGTCTTCCCGTCGCATTTGGAACGAGGCCCCCTGGTCCCTGCCGGATCCTGTAAGGCTGCAGCCACTTCTCAGCTCCATCTCAAGTCACTTGAGCCACACTGGCTTTGCACATGGTCAGGACCTTTGCACCAGTGTCCCCTCTGCATGGAACACTCTCTCCCCCGCCCTCTGCACGAACTTCTCCTTCTGTCTCCTCATTTTTCAGATCTTGGCTTCCCTTATCATCTACCCAGCCCTTCCTTTCTGCCTACTCTCTGGCCTCACAGCCATTGCCCCCACAGAGCTCACCACCTGGGACCACCTGACGTTCCTGTCACCTGTCAGGGACCAGGCCTTGCCTGTCATGTTCCCCATGACATCCCTAGCACTTGTGGGTGCCTACCTCATAGTAGGGCTCAGTAAATACTAGTTCCGTCAGTGAACGAAAGAGCGGACTTGGTATCTGTCTTGTGTGCACGGGGCCACACTGCCCCCTAGAGGTGCTCTGGGCAGCTGGGCCAGCCCAGCCCCCGACTGTCACTGGATGGTGCTCAGACAGCACTTCCATTTACTTGGAGCCCAGGAGTTTTAAGGGAGGGAGTTCGAGCCCCGCTCAGAGTTGGGGTTCATCCAGCTTGGCCCTATTCCATGGCCTGGGGGAATTCCCCCCAAAGCAGGCTGAACTGGATAAAGAAATAGAGGGGTTATCCCTGAGGGAAAATCTTCATCCAGACTGAGTGGCCTGGGCTGAAGGCAAAAGAGTGGCAGCTCCCAGCCCGATGTTAGGTCAGGCCTCAGCACCAAGACCCAAGTGAGGGGCACAGCCAGTTTCCCTAGGGGCCCAGAGGCTCTGCCAGGGAGGTAGGAAGCACCCGAGGCTGGTGGTCTTGGGAAGGCCAGCCCAAGTGCAGAGCCAAGGCAGGCACGGCTGCAGGATGCAGGGCTACGAGCAGCATCCTGGTTCCATGGGCGAGTCCTCCTCTCTCCAGAGACATCCTGATGGAGCAGAGTCCAGGAGGAGGCTGGATTTCCTGCCAACCAAGTGGGGTGAGCTCAGGGCTCTGCAGTTTTCTGCTGGTGAGGGTAGCCAAGTGCCATGTGGGTTGTTTTTAAGGGGCTGACTCTAGCTAATTTCTTCATAATCATTAACGGTGGCGGTGGCATACATCTTTCAAGGGAATGTCTGAGTCTGGGGCTCCAGGCCTTGGAGATGAAGGAGGGGAATATAAGCTTCATGTGGGCAGGGATTGTCTCTTGTTCTCTGTGGTATGCCTAGTGCCTAGTACAGTGGCTGACACACACAGTACATGCTTGCTGGGTGAGTGAATGAAGGAAGGACACTAAGATGGGGAAGCAGACACCGAAGGGCTCTGACAGTCAGCAGAGGGTTGCTTAGGTCCCCGGGCGGCAGGCCAGGAGGTCCTCTGCACCAACAGTGCTGGCTGGGGCTGAGCCCAGAGCCAAGCACTGGGGAGCGGCCACCTGTCAGCAGAGCTTGTGCACCAGGGAGGAGAGAAGCTGGACGGCTAGACTTGAGGGCTGATTCGGCAGAGCCAGCCTTGGGGTAGCAGCAAGAGAAGGGCTGGAGAGACAGATGGAGGGGCAGGTGGGAGCCGTCCAGGGAGAGCGACTGAACAAGGATGTTTAAGCAAGTGCTGGGGATGATGCCAAGAAAGAGTGCTTTCAATTTCGCCAAAGAAAAAACAGCTCTCAATCCACCAGCATTGTGCAATCTTCCTGTTTGTTATTTCTCTGGTTATCACTTCAGGCTCCTCGGCAGCCCAGAGCACTGTCAGAAAAGCCATCGGCACCGCAGCACGATTAGCCTTGGTACCCACCAGGGAAGATTATGCTTTTCCTGAGGCCACGTTCTCTTTACAGTATGCAGAGGTCAGCCCGGGGCTTTGGATCCCCTCACTACCGGCCTGGTGATGAGCTTGGCAGAATGTGAGCAAGTGGGGTTCTCTCTCCCCTCGGCCATGACAGAGAGATGGCCCAAACCAGCAATGCCCAACCTGGCAAAGCAGCGTGTGTGGGAACTTGGGGTCAGAGTCCTCGACATGCAGAGAAGGGAACCGCGCAGAGACAGAACATGGGGGAGGAAGCTGCCTGTGGGTCCTTGGAGCAGGTCTGCAGACAGGCAGATAGCTAGCTAACTTGGGCCCCACAGAGCTCATCTTTGGGGCCATTCAGGGTCCCTGAGGTGCCCACGGAGACACTGGCAGTGCCATCAACAAATGGATGGCATTGGCCCCATCAGGGTCAGGGTTTGAGACATGGTCATGGCAAGGATCTCTTCCTAGGAGCAGGGCCTGCCCTGTCTGCCCTCCACACCACGCACGTACCTCCGCTCCCCTGTGAAGGGACAGACTAAACCACACTGGGGGCCCTGTGAGCCTGCCAGTTCCCTCCAACAGTAGGAGAGGGCCAAGAAACCACTCTCCTTGGTCAGAGCCAGTGTAGATGCTGGGTCAGAGATTCATACCAAACCACAGGACCAGAACATGTGTGAATTATTTTATCATCATGAATAATTATGATAATAAAGAACGAAAACCAGTAGCGGTTACCATGTGACGGCGCCCAGCACGGCACATGGGACCCGGCAGGTGCTCCACGGACACTTGCTGAATAGGAGTGGGGCCCTGTGCTAAGCTCTTTACGGGCATTATCTCATTTGACCCACCCCATGAGGTAGATGGAATCATCCCCATCTTACAGAAGAAACTGAGGCGAGAGAAGTGAAGCAACTGGCCTGAGGTCCCAGGGCTCATGAGGGCAGTCACAACTCTCATTTGGCCCCAGCAGGTGGATGAATCTTTGACCCTTATCTCTCCCTGAAACCCGTGTGAGCTAACCCAAGGGCAAAGAGGCCTGAGCCTGTACCCAGTCAACAGATGAGATACGTACGCCCTTTCTTGGTTACACTGGACGCATGTGTGGTTCCCTGGTCTGTGGATAAGTAGCTTCAGTGGCCGCAGGGAGCAACTTCATGGAGCATTTGTTCCCAGTGCTGTCGCTATGGTAACCCAGAAGCCTCTCAGGCTGGTGCTGTGCACATGGCCTGCATCCACCCCACCTGGGGTGGGAACCTGTCACCATGGAGACAGCTTCCCCCACCTTAACAAAGGGCTGCTTGACAGGGGCAGGGGTGGAGGGGCTGGGCACTCAGGGCTGGGGGCAGGACCCACCTTGGCCAAGCTGGCAGTAAAGAGCACACACTCAAACAGCTGCCCCATCCTCTGGAGGAACTCGTCCACATGTGGCCGCTTCAGCACATACACCTGCAACGGCAGGGACAGCACGCCGGTCAGTCACAGCAGCCGCTGGGAAAGGCCTGGGGCCCGGACACCCTGCATAGGAAGAATTCCTAACCAGGTTCCTGCCTCCTGCCCCTTGGTTTAATGTGGTACGTATGAAGGGCTGTGCAGTCAGATATGGTGCTTCAGGCCAGACACACCTCAGACCGGGCTCCAGGTCTGAGTTCGGAGCAGACGCCCCTCCCAAGGGGGAAAGGGAAGCTGACCATGGTATTGAAGGTCCTGGGGATTTTCAGAAGCAGTGAGTGGAAGGGTTGTGCCGCATTTGTGTGACACAATTCCTTCATTTCACGTGCGTTTCGCGGCACATGCTCTCAGTCAGGCCCTTTGTGGACACAGGCTGTGGTCTGAGGTAGTCCTTTCGGGAGGTCAGGGCCTGGCCCCCTGCCCGGCAGGCCTGGGATTGCTCCAGCTGCTACCTACTCTGATTGGAACCCCTCCCTTGCTAAGGAGGCCTGGGGTGGAGGCACAGGCCCAGCAAAGCTGAAGGAAGGGCCTTCCTTGTCGGCTTGGGAAACCATCTACCTGACCCCACAAAGGTAACTCTGCTTGGGTCTGCTCCAGAAACAGATGCTTCAGGGGACTTGAAGCCAGCCTACCCCAGGCCCCGGAAACCAGCCATCAGGAGGAGCCGCCAAGCAGAGGGGGGCAAAGAGCAGCCTTTCCTAGAGTGGCTGGGCTCTGCTCCTGACTGGGGAACCTGAACAAATGTGAGGAAACATGGGAGCAGGGAGAGAAGGCAGAGCTGGCAAGAGAAGATAGAGGAGGTGGGAGGAGGGAAGAACTAATTAAAACTTGAATAAATTCCATCTGAAATTAGCCATTTCCCTAAAATAATTCAAACTTGTTAAAATTCAATTCAATTCATATTCGCTCAGTCCCAGCTCTGGGCTCAGCCTGAAGCAGTTACAAAGGTGAGTGAGACACAGGCCTTGCCCTTGAAGAGCTCACAGTCTAGAGCAGACATACAGAAAAATATATCAAAATAAACATGTGTAATGAAAGCTGTAGTAGAGGGATAAATTGAGGACGATTAACTCCCCTCTCAAGGGGAGGGAATCACAAAAGGGAACATGTGGCCTGGACCTTGAAGGATGAATAGGAGTTCACCAGGCTGATAAGGATGAGAAGTGAGCTTCCAGACAGAGGAAACAGTATGAGCCTGAGACCTGGCCTGAAAACACTTGGGGTGTTAGAGAATGGCCAGAGCCCTGCATGACCAGCCCTTCAGAGGCAGCAATAAAAGAGGGGGAAATGGGGGTAGAAAAGGCTGAAGATGAAATGTGAAAAGCAGGCCAGGGCGAGTAATGCATGGGGCCATAAACGAAGCAGGCTGGATACCTAACAGGACAAGTAGCAGAGGGGAACGGGGCTCTGCCCCACACGGAGGATGTGCTGCTGGTAAAGGAGTTTACACAGAGCCAGGACTTGGTGGGAAACATGGCTGACTGAAAGGGTGTGTGGAGTGAGGGGCCAGAGGAGCAGGGTGGCCTGGGTGTGGGTTGAGGGCTGGAGACTGGTCCTCAGTCTCCCTGGGAATATTGCTTGGAAAGGAAGCTTTGCTACACGCGAAGGGCAGGAGACTGGTTTGGGAACTCTGGTGTTGGTGCCTCTGGCAGAGAGGAGGGTCCTGGGCCCGGAGGCCAGCGTCCAGGCCCGCGTCCGCGTGCAAGTAACCAAGAATAGGCCCCTTGGGACCTGCACAGCCTATCCTGGATTACTTGAACGAGGCCACGGCCTTCGCCAGGGCCTTGGTCCTCCTCTGGGCACCTGTGGCTTCATTCCCTCAGGAGAGAGAGTTTCTGACCCCAGCTCTGGGGTGTCTACCACCAAGTGAATCACAGCACAGTCTGGAGGGCTGGGGCAGCTGGGCGGCTCCTTCGAGAATGGGCTGGCCATAGCAGGTCATGTCCTGAGGGCCACGCTCACGGTCACGAGGAACAAAGGATTAATTTCTCTCCTAATTCCTGCCATGCCAGTGGGCAGCCTCTCCTTTGTCTCATTATCTTGTAACACGAGCCAAGATAATAAATGCAGAAGCCTTAACTGCTTCTCAGATGCTAAGTTAATTCTGTTGACACTTCTGCAAATGTTAAATGCCCAAGTGCCTACTCCCTGATGGCTTTTAAAAGTGTGAAGTGTGGAGACACCAGGGACAGGGCTGCCTTTCCCAGGGACTGGACGGATTCCTGGCAGGACCTCCTGGCAGGGGAGGAGAGGGACTCGAGTATCACCAAAAGAGCCCTGGGTTAGGAACAGGAGACTGAAGCTCTCATTTTAATTCTTCCTCCTGTATGACCTTGAACCAATCCTCTCCCTGGCTAAGCCTCAGTTTCCCCATGTGTGCTATGAGGTGGCTGGATCAGCCGATTCCCCCAGCTCTGACACCCTGCACTCAAGGGCCAAAGAGACTACCGACATCATTAAGGAAAGACATCCTGTTACGGCTCAAGCACCAAGGGAGAGTTTTCCTCCTGGGATATAAACACACCAGGCCAGAGACCCTCCCTTTAGATCTTGGGGTTGACAAGTAAGATGACTGGATCATCCCTGCGGAAAACCTACAATGTCTTCCTACAGTGTTTCCAATATTTCATAAATGAAACTATTTCCGGAGGAGCTTCATGAAGAAAAAAGGAAAATAAGGGGAAAAAAAAATCAGAACAAAGATGTATGCCAGCTGACTAGGGCATCTTTTAGGGCATCACTAGTCAAAGCTGCCTGCTGATCCAAAATACGCACACCCTTCCTCCTTTCCTTTTTGGGTTGGATTTTGCTAAATATTCACTGGAGAGCACGATGCAGGAGTGACAAGGTAAGTCTGGACTGGCTGGCCTTGGAAACGGACAACTTTTCCCGAGAACCTACCGTAAGCGGGTGACTTGTGACATTCTCCTGTTGTCTGCCAGGAGAGTAGTTGAAGCAATTACACAGGGAAGTTAATTAGACTATCAAGCTAGGCCAGTGGGGGGTACGGAAACTTCTAACAGTCTGCATCAAATCAAAGAACTATGTGAACTTGCAACCACATCTAATATTTACAAATAGGTTAGTTTCCCTTATAGACTAAGTATAAAATTCATCTGAGTGAAAAAAAAAAACAACAGAACATCATTGCATTTTTAATGAAATCTACTTCCTTTTGATTTAGGAATAAAAAGGCTATGAAATGGGAATTTAGAAATACAGTTCACAGGAAACATAATTACTAAAAAATGCTAACTGAAACTCAGATTTAGCTTTGATTTCTTACCTGATGTATAGTTCCATCGATTTCAACGGGAACAATAAAATCAGCATTACTAATAGGCTAGAGAAAAAAGAAACTATAATTAGTATGTCTGAAAGGACAAAATAAAATTGGAAACTTCAGCACCAAAAAAGCTTGCCTGGACCAATGTTTTTATTGTTGGAAAAAACAATTCAGGAGGATGTTGAAGCATGCCATGGCTCCTCAAAATAAGCACAAGAAGAAAAGCACATTATTTTCTGTTCTGAACATTGTTACATTTTCAGCATCTTGGTGCAACTTTTTTATCACCTCCCTGCAAAGAGTGCAAAGAGTGGTGCACCTGGCTTGGGAACGGGGCTTGTCAAACTCCCCGCTCTTGCCTAGAGCCCTCCCAGCATGGCAGGAACCACTGCTGGCCACCAGGGGGAGGAGGTGAGAGCCTGACGATCCCCGAGGACAGTGCTACTCAGGGGAAAAGAATTTGTCTTGGACCCACAAGTGCAGACTGCCCTGTGGCGGGCTGCTTGACAGATGTTCAACACATGGACCCCAAGTGGGGCCATCGGATATGTGGGGTGAAGTCAGAGGCCACAGCCATGACCTTGGGCGGGCTCTTTCCCCTCTGGACCCCGGATTCTCCTGTCTTCCACAACTAGAGCAAGGGATCTGATGAGTGCCCTTACCTCCATCCAGCATGCATCAGTGATTTCAGGCCTTGCCTGGCACCATCTCCTACTGTGGGAGGTGGGGAGAGCCAGCCCACCCCAGACTGTTCTGCTCTGTGTAACACAATACGTAGCACACTCACAAACCTCTGCATATTTAAAGTAACTCTGACACTTAATAACACTTAAAATTCAAACAGGAGGCTTCGGCAGTCACTACGTTCCCAATGATAGACTCACATACAGTTCTAAAGGGAATTCCACAAATCAGGTAGAAATGAACAGGCCCAAGAGAATCATGAGACCACAAACCCTCGGGACACGTAGGAGAGAAACAGAGGGAGGGAGAACACGTGTGTGGTGGCCACAGGGCACTCTGGTCACAATCTGAACTGGGGTCTCTGCCTTTAAGCCCGTTACTGTACACACACATTGTTCTTTGATATGTAAACTGAAAAAAAGGTGGAAAATACTAGATCACAGAACCATTACTAAGCACTCAGCAGAGCACCTGAGGCTTAAGATTATAGTGTCTTCACTGCTTTGGTTGGAAGGCCAAGGATGAGTTCGGTATTTTGTAATTTCACAACTAAAATAGAGAATCAGGCTAGAAAACAAGAGACTGAAGGAAGAAATTCTCCCAAGGCATTAGACTGTGAAATCATATTCCACAGAGTATAGAACAAGAGAAAACCACTGCCCAGCTCAGAGCAAGCACTGCCCTCCATCTTTTCTTGCACGAGACCGGGCCAAAGCCAGGGCTGTAAACCTGGGTCCTGGCCCTGCGTGCTGTACAGATGCGCAGTTTCAAGGAGAGAGGTTCACAGCTTTCGGATTCTCAAAGGGCTTTGAAATGCCCAGAACCTTAAAAACCATATGATAAAGAATATTCCGCTCGCAAATGTAGGCAGGCCAGGGAGGGAAGAAACAAAGAGATGCTGTTCACGTCAGCCTGTCGCATCAATGCCCTCTGAGTAGGCCCTGGAGACACCAGGGGCTGCCAAGGCCTCGCCTTTGGAGCCAGGAACCCTCAGTAACCTTGGGCAGTCTGGCCAGCGATGCCCACACTCCCAGAGCTGCTTGGAATGAAGCTGGTCTATGCTGTAGTGGCAACTGACCCCTGTCCTAAAGGGCTTTCTTCCTCAGGGACTTGAAAAAGCCTTGAGCATCCTGCCCATGGGGGAGAAAAGGCTTCCAATGCCATTCAGTGTTGAGTTGGGATATAAGGTCACTGCAGCCCTGGGACCAATCCTGGAAGGGCCCTCGTGGGGCTGGGGAATGAGTGGTACCTACGTGCCCCAGCTGCCAGCCGGGCCATTTCTCACTGCCAGGGGTAAGTGTGGCCCCGCCTCCACTCTCAAAGGACTCTAGGACAACTGCCTGGCCTTGTCCTGTCAAGGAGGGTTCTGTTTAGTGAGAAGCAGGCACAAGGAGGGATGTGTCTGGCAGAAAGGTCTTCAGGAAAATTTGATGGCTCTCCCACTTCCCACAGAGCCATCAAGGAGTGACTGGCTGGTGTGTCAGACACACACTCCATCTTAGGTGGTGCTTTCACGTCTCTCAGCAAAGTAAACGGGGTCATGGGCTGGGGGTAAAAAGAAGAATGTGGTCTAACTGGCCAGCAATAGTAGAGCAGTTCCATCACCAGAAACACCCAAGGAAAACAGGACAAGGACCCTACACACCTGCTTCTTTTCCCCAACACACCAGTCCCCTATTTCCAAACTTTTTTTTATCATTTGCTTCTTTTAAACAATTTCAAAAAATGGAAAAACGATTAATTAACTCATTTCCCAAGAGTGTAGCCATAGCTGTCCCTGCATAGAGGCCCTCGGGTAATTTGTAATCTTGGCTGTTTTTCTGGCGGGGAGATGAAGATGGAGAGCAAGCTGAGCTCACTGCGGCCCCGCAGCCATCAGGAGGGAGGTCAGGCAGGTGGATACACATTAAGCCATGAAGCTTAGGAAAAACTCCAGCAACCTCTTGTCATGAAAACGGTCAAGGTAAATGGCTGAATGTGTTCAGATGCCGTTAACTCTGGAAGTCTTCTTCAGAGTTGGGCATCTTCCAAAACTTGGTCTGGGAAAATTTCCAGGATAGTCGGTTGCTTGATGGTTTTCAACAGTGCCTCCCCTGCCCCTCCCAATACAACTTGCAGGATGTACAGCGCTCCGGTTACCTTGGCAAACACATAGCAGTGTCCTGGGGCACTGATTGCCTTGTGCCACCTGAAAAGTATTTCTGCAGGGGGCAGAGTGTTGGAAAACTCAAATTGCCTACGTAAGAATGAAGTCTCAGGGATATTAGCAGCCCCAAACTAATCATGTTAGTTAATATTCAGCTACTTGAGTTAATGTTCACCCGAGTTAATAAGCAACTGTTATTGGGATCTCATAAACAGTGAGGTCGTACGCCAACAACCACAAGCTTTCATCCTTTTAATTTTCCCTTTTCCAATACAACTGTGACCAAATCACAAAGATCACTGATTGTTTTCTTATGTTGATTTACCTTAAATGAACTGTGCACCAATGTTTCATCTAAATCAATGACCACACATTTCTTTCCATAGTCAAGCACCGTCACCTCTGGAAGGAGATATTTAGCTGGTGGCTAAAGGGGGGGGAAAAATCAGTATTATTACCTTTATGTAAAAGACAAACCAAATCCCTTATAATCGTATTACACTATGTCAGTGAGGTCAGAAATGAAACCAAACATTTAAATGCCTGGTCAAGCACATCATGGAATTTTATTAAAAACAATAGGAATAAGCAGTTTGCAATTGAAGTTTTACCAAGCAAATACTGTGCCACTTGCCTGAACGGCTATTATGAGGGCCTGGGCTTTGGAACCAGACAAACTTGGGTTTGAATATCAGCTCTGTCTGTTCTTTGGCTGTGAGTTGGGACGATAATACCTACCACGAAAGGTTGTTATCAGCTATAATTGCAGTAAAACACCCAGCATTCTGCCTGGCACATATGTGGTGGCTATTGTTATTATTAAAATGGACAACATGGGCTTCCCTGGTGGCGCAGTGGTTGAGAGTCCGCCTGCCGATGCAGGGGACAGGGGTTCGTGCCCCGGTCCGGGAGGATCCCACATGCCGCAGAGCGGCTGGGCCCGTGAGCCATGGCCGCTGAACCTCCGTGTCCAGAGCCTGTGCTCCGCAACAGGAGAGGTCACAACAGTGAGAGGCCCGCATACCACACAAAAAAAAGGGACAACGTGAAAATGAATGTTAAATTATAATCACTACTCTAACCATGCAGCCTATGTTCCGGGGTCATATTTCATCTGAAATTCACTGTGGTATATAAGCATATTTTAGAGCTTTATTGGACCATACTATTTTTTTTTAAAAGTGACTGAAGCTTTCAAAAAACTTTAAGAGAAACTATAGAACTACCAGCAAAATGCAATCCAAAGTGACCTCCAACAATAGGAAACAGAAATAGAACTGGTCCACGTACAGTGCCCTGCGTTGTACGTGCCCCACTGTGGTGTAATATCGAGCAAAGGTGGCACTTTTATCCCTTGGAGTCTCTGTCCCTGGAAGTTATACTTTAATCCACATGTTGCGTGTTAACCAGAAAATCCATTTATATGTCTTTGTAGTAGCTGACTTTCATGTTATGATAAAGAAGTCATAAAGAGTTAATAAAATGCTAGATATCTTCAGCCAACCTCATTCTTGATTTAGAGTATTTATTTCTTGGGCCTTGCCTCATTCTAGAAGTGATTTGAAGTATTTCAGTTTACTTTGTGGCATATTCAGTATCCAATGTTAACTAGCTAATTTTCTGTCCTGGAGGAAGGTCAAGCTCTGTTCCATATTTAATGCAAAACAAAACACAAGAAAATATCTGTTCCTAACCACTGAAGAATGGACAATTTAGCTTATCAAATAAAACAAGAAAAAAATGCAATCAATAAGTATTCCCTTTTAAATGGCTATTTCTTTCTCTCTCTCTTTTTCTTTTTGGGGGGGGGTTCAGTTGAACATTAGTCAGGGAATTCATGTCAGTTTTGGACTTGAGCTGGTTCAATAGTGAATGTAAAGCAGGCGGTCAACAGGGTAGGTAAATTTGCAAGTGCTATGATCACCTTGGCTGGAGGGATTGTCGGGGCTGAGTAGGATGAAGCAATGTGTGGAGACACGAGCATTTCTAATTCCTGGGGGGCTATCTCTAGTAAGCGTGGGTGTTTCATTCTCTCCAACATCATCCAGCAGAAAAAGCCCTTATGGCCTCCCAACTCCCTTGGCTCTAATGAATGTTCACCAGGCAGTATCCCTGAGAATGTGGCACTGGGAAAGGCGTGCCTTAGACTTGGAGCGTGGGACCCAGTGTCCTGGAAAGGACTATGTCCTTCGTTACAAATCAGCAAGCAGGCAGGCTTTATTAAAAAAATTAAAATAAACTTGCAAGAAGTTCAAAAGAGGTTTCAAAAGGCAGGGTGTGATGAGCCCAATAAATGAACGTAATAGAGAGGATTGGGGTTATTTCTGTTGTGTGAGCCATAGCAGAAAGCATGCTTGTGACCAGGATAAAATTTGTTTTAATTTTCTATTATACAATTATGTAATAAAACACATTCTCATTGTAAAGAATATAGACGTATAAAACACAAGTATTCCCTCTTCCATGCTCACCCCCCCAATTCCTTTCCCCAGGTGCCCCCCTTTTTTAGTTTGCTGTGTATCTGTCTAGCCCTTTTTCTATGCGTTTATAGACTAAAACAGCATTTTAACTTTAAGTATTTGCTAGCCTGGAAAATAAGGATCTAGAACTTCTATCCCTAGCATATCTGAAAACATCAAAGCTCTGCCCAAAGTGGCTCAGTTATTTTCCAAACCAGAGAATGAAAATTACTGTCTTCGCAGGTTTAACCCACACTTTACAAGCATTCTCTGAGTTAACAGTAAGGAAAAAGCCTCCCCGCACTATTTTAAGAGAGAAAAGAGCAAGCGGGGTGACAGGCATAATAAGCAAGCTATTGATTTAGCATTTCTGCTGCAGAGAACAAGGCCAGGCTGGGGCAACACGCTGCAGGGGGCGGTCCATTAATCCTTAGCCCAGTTCCTAAATGCACGGGGCTTCCCTGAGAGCTTGGCTTTAGATTAATGCAAATTCCTCAGACCAGTGGTAAGAATTCTTCTGGAGAGCTGTGTCCTTGGAACATGCGAGGATACTAGATAATTGCGATAGTGTTTTGTGACTTCAATTGATCTGCTCAGGTGATGCTTGAATCATTAACTAAAAAATGTCCTGATGCAAATTTTCTCTCAGGTCATCATCAAGCTGAGGAACAGGGGAAACACCAGTTATATCAAGAAGAGCCTTTTCTAAACACAGTGACTTGCTCCCAAGCACAGGCGGGCACTGCCAGGGGGGTGGGGTGGGAGTAAGAAAGCATGGGGGGAGGGGGAGGTTTGAGAAGGGCATTCATGCCATTGCTCTTTCTGGAAGTGGATGGGAAAGTTCCTGTCCTTGGCTGTGAACGCGCAGCCAGGAATAGTTAATCTAAGGTATCCACCCCATAACACACCCTTGCAAATCTTACAGAGTGGTGCCTCTTCTTGGTATGCTGGATGGTTGTCTGTGCACTTGAGTTCTCAGGCTCCAAGTCTGCACACTGCCCACCTCCCTCCCCTCGCACCTCCCGAGCTCAGGGCAGAACTCTAGGGGCTGCTGCAGGAGGGGCAAAGGAGACTGGACACCAGCTCTAACTGGTGTTGCTCTGCTTATATGATCTTCATAAGGTTTGGTGGAAAAAAGTATACTACTGTTTACTAAAAGGCTTAGGCCGACAGCATAGAGACGTAACTGTTAGAAAACAAATTTCTCCTCTCCACTTTCAGCAATTTTATGGCTCAGCTGCACTGTCGACCCCGAGCTGGAAGCACCAGGGACTTAGTGATCCCAGCGAGCATGTGGGGAACGGGAGGGGTCTGGTCCTCACTGGGGCCAAAGCATCGGAGTGTTCACCTTCAGAGTCACCACCAAACTTCACCGTTTCCAAGCCTGTCCCTCTGCATTTTTCCTTACCCTTCAACACCTGACTTCTACTGGACAGAACATGAGGCTTCCGATAAGAGGTACAGAGGGCCCCAAACCCCAGCTCCCAGTTGGGAGACAAATGTTACTAAGTGAAACGTTTAAGATCAAATCCAGATAAAAATGTTATTTCTAATAGGTGTACAAAAGATGGGTTACTCAATAAATGATGCTGAGACAACTGACTTGCCACCTGGAAAAGCAAATAAAGCTGGATTGCGACTTCACGCCCTACACCAACATAATCCAGATGGATCAAAGATTTAAGTGTAATGATGAAACTTAAAATACTAGGAGACAAGTGGGTCATAGTCATAGAGTGGGGAGAGCTTTCTAAGCATGACATAAAGTTCAGGAGCCATAAAAGACAAGATGAACACATTTCCCTATATAAAATTACACTCCTTTGTGGCCAAATGATTATAAACAAGACCAAAAAATATATCATAAATTTGGGGGAGAGTGCTAATTTCCTTGAAATTTAAAAAGATAATAGTATAAAATCTAGAAGAAATGAATAGGTAAGAAGAAATACATATGGACAATAAACTTGTGAAAAGATGTTCATACTCATTCATGAAGAAATGCAAATCAAAGCAATAAATCTTTACTTTCAGATAAGCAGAGATCAAAGTATTTGCTAATTACCATTTCTGAAAAGGGAATGGGCTCTTGCTGGGAATGTAAATTAGGTTTTCAGAGGGCAATTTGCCTTTAATCTACCAGAAATATAAAGTATACCCTTTGACCTAGCATTTCCACAACTAGGAACTGATCACCCAGATACTATCACTCAGGTTGACAAACACACAAGCACAAGAATATTTGTAATAGCACAAAAGTGGACACAATGTAAATGCCATCAACTACATGTAAAACAATGAGGCAGCTCGCTATGTACTAATATCTGGAAGGATGTTCAAGGTACCCTGATAAAAGCAAAAAGCAACTCGCAACACTCTCATTTGTTTAAATATGCCTGTGTTGATTTAGAAAATTTCTGCAAGGATATACAAAAAATGTTAGAAGGCTATTCTAGAGAGTGGGATCAAGTTGGGAGATTTTGTTTTTTCTATTTTAATCTTGCAGTAATTTTTTAAACCATGAGTTTGAATAATGAAAAAATATGAATAATGAAAAGTGAATAATGAAAAAATGAGCTTAGTAAAAAAAAAATCAAAAGATGGAGGCTGCACATATAAACAGCAGCATGAGAATAAAAAATGGAGGGCTCATGAGGTGAGCAGCAAGAGATGGGAACTCCAGCCGGATCTCCTCTGGGCACCCACAGGCTTAGGGGAACCTTTCGTCTTCTGGGCCTGGAAAAAGCTTTCAGCGGGTGTGGGGACTTGGTTTGGAGGCTCAGCACAAGCCTGTATTTCTGGTCCTGTGTGGTAGCCCTCCAACAAGCTCTCAGAGGTTCCTAGCACTAACCAGGTCCCCCGTGGTCCAGAAAAGGCAGGGCTACTGTTTATGTGAGCTGCAGTCTAGACAGGTAGGTGCAGATTTTGCAGGAGACCCCAAGGCTCGAATCCTGGGGCAGAGCTGTTCTCCAGATGGACTTGGGTTTAGTGCTGCATGCTAAGCAGGCAGTGGAGATCACACGGTACCCATTGGTGGAACTGTTGTTCTGGGAGTACTTATTCAAAGATGCAAGTTACTGGGCTTCCCTGGTGACGCAGTGGCTGAGAATCTGCCTGCCGATGCAGGGGACACGGGTTCGAGCCCTGGTCTGGGAAGATCCCACATGCCACGGAGCAACTAGGCCTGTGAGCCACAACTACTGAGCCTGCGCGTCTGGAGCCTGTGCTCCGCAACAAGAGAGGCTGCAACAGTGAGAGGCCCGCGCACTGCGATGCAGAGTGGCCCCTGCTTGCCGCAACTAGAGAAAGCCCTTGCACAGAAATGAAGACCCAACACAGACAAAAAATAAAATTAATTTTAAAAAAAAAAGCTTTAAAAAAAAAAAGATGCAAGTTACTTTAGCTAGGCTTTGCTTTCTTGCAAGATATTTCAGATTCATAAGGCCTGACCCAGTGTCTCACATGTAGGAACCAGTCTGTGGTTTACTGACCTAACACTAGGCTAAATTACACAAAGCATCTTTTTCCTCTTGACTATTTTATTCTGGGACTCTAGAAAGAGATTTGTGAAGAAAGAGTCATTTTTCTCTACTGTGGGTGCCCAGTAGAGCGTTTACTCTGACAAATGCTTTGATTCAGCACTTAACTTTACAGATAGCTGTGAATTAACTTTGAGGGAAAAAACCAGTGCTATCGGAGTCTCAGAGGTAGGGGGAGAGATGCCACCTGTTGAATGCAGACACCTTTGCAGGAAAAATATACGAAACTACTTTGTATAAAGATTAAAAAGAGGCCTCTGGTATCAATCCCCTTGGGTATCCTACTCAAACACTGGATAAGAAGTCGTGCTGACTGACCCATGTTTTTGATCAAAGTCAGTTCCCAACAAAGTCCAACCCCCAGGCACGCTAGCAAAGTCAGAATCACTCCACAAACCCTTGCAACCTGTTAATCAATGGAGAGTTAATGTTGTGAAAATAAGTGAAATTAACAAAAATATTTTGGGCAATTTATAGGTGACATGCATCGCCAAATTTGAAGTCAAACTGTACTAATGAAATCCATCATTTCCTTCAATGTAAGATTGCTGTGTCTCTTGGATGTTCCCAGAAAACATGTGAAAAAGTCCAAGTAAAGATAGATGATTAGATTTGAATCCGACAATCTGAATCAGAGAATCTTTATGGATTAAAATATCAATTTCTGGGAATTCCCTGGCGGTCCAGTGGTCAGGACTCCGCTCTTTCACTATCGAGGGCCTGGGTTCAATCCGTAGTCAGGGAACTAAGATCCCACAAGCCACGTGCGGTGTGGCCGAAAAAAACAAAATCAATTTCTGGACAACTTTTAAAAACCTAAATCCTTCTCTAAGGACACAGGACTGTTTGAGAGATCCTGTTTGATACAGACATCTCAACTGCAAGTTTCTTCTGGGAGTCGGTCATTGGTCTGCTTCTTGCTTGCTGACTGGCCTCAGGCCACACGGCTCGGCTGGCACAGAAGATGGAAGCAAAGGAGCGGTGGGGAGAGCAGCTGTCTGAGGGGTGGCCGGTCCAGGCATGTGCTGGGGCAGACACTGGTGCAGCTAGTATCCCAAATTCCAGGACTGAAAACAGAAGTTGGTGGTCCAAGGGAGTACTTGGCTGGGGCAGAGTTGCAGTACAGCCAGCCTGTGGGATTTGGGGGGCAGAGGGCAGGATGGTGGTGATGGTAGGGTGATTCTGCAAGTTCAGGGAATACGACTGAGGAGATTTTTCTGATCAGAGCCACGGCCAAGCTACCGACACTGCTGAACAGTCAGGGATGGTCTGCTCCCCTGGGATGGGGGTGTGGTGAACCTAGTTCCACTGGGACAGAACCTGTTGCAAAGAAACCTATTGGGGCAAAAGTATGTTCTTGCAGTCTATGGAGTTGGGGAGTGCTGCCTCGGCTTACTAAGAGACGTGGAGGCCCTTTGCAGAAAGAAAGGTGAGAATGTGGTTAGTAGATGCTGGTTGCCTTGCTGTTCCTAAGAAAGGAAACTCGTACAGAACTTCCTGCTCTCGGTTTAAAATGTAGCTTCACTTTTTTTTTTTTTTTCAACAGACCAGAGCTGTTAAAACCACACGATAAAAATGCAATATAAGCAAAAACATTAAAAAATCTTTTATATTAGTAAGCCGAAAGCTACAAGATTCTATAACTCTTTAAGTAAAATTGGATAAATATACATACACTTGGTATGGGAATGATCTGCCTCTGGTCACCCTGAGGAGAGAGAAAAAAAAAAAAATCACTGTCAGGTTCAAAGAGAAGTAGATCATATTCTCAAAAGAAACTTCAAAGCACTCTTGAGTACAGCGGCCGTATGACTGCCTGTTCTCTGTACCTTGGTGGGATTTTTTTTTTTTTTTGGCTGTACACGGGCCTCTCACTGTTGTGACCTCTCCCGTTGCGGAGCACAGGCTCCGGACGCGCAGGCTCAGCGGCCATGGCTCACGGGCCCAGCCGCTCCGCGGCATGTGGGATCCTCCCGGACCGGGGCACGAACCCGTGTCCCCTGCATAGGCAGGCGGACTCTCAACCACTGCGCCACCAGGGAAGCCCCCTTGGTGGGATTTGATGAACAGGAGGAACTCAAAGATATTCCACAGTTAGGGCACTGGGCTCCACTCTGCCTCCCAGACAGACCAGAAGATGTGGTACATATATATAATGGAATATTACTCAGCCATAAAAAGAAACGAAATTGAGTTATTTGCAGTGAGGTGCATAGACCTAGAGTCTGTCATACAGAGTGAAGTAAGTCAGAAAGAGAAAAACAAATACCGTATGCTAACACATATATATGGAATCTAAAAAAAAAAAAAGGTCATGAAGAACCTAGGGGCAAGACGGGAATAAAGATGCAGACCTAATAGAGAATGGACTTGAGGATGTGGGGAGGGGGAAGGGTAAGCTGGGACAAAGTGAGAGAATGGCATGGACATATACACACTATCAAATGTAAAATAGATAGCTAGTGGGAAGCAGTTGTATAGCACAGGGAGATCAGCTCTGTGCTTTGTGACCACCTAGAGGGGTGGGATAGGGAGGGTGGGAGGGAGGGAGACGCAAGAGATATGGGGATATATGTATATGTATAGCTGATGATTCACTTTGTTATAAAGCAGAAACTAACACACCATTGTAAAGCAATTATACTCCAATAAAAATGTTAAAAAAAAATGGCTCCAGACACAGCCAAATGCTCGCTAGGGGGCAAAGTCATCTCCATTTGAGAACCAATGTGCTAGTGGGAGATGGCAAACAGCCCTAACACACAGGTGTACCTTCAGACCAGGTGAGCACATCAGTGAGGTGAGAGATAACACCGCCAAACGGTTATTTGGGAAGGGCTTGACAAAACACAGACCACAACCAAAGGTGCCACCCTAGACAAGTATGTGGGCTTGAAAATTACCCTAGAGGTTTACGTGTGTGTGTACATGGGATACGCATGTATGAGTGAGCGTCCAGCAATGGCTTTCACTCTGTCCTTGCACTGAGAAGTCCTCCAGGGTCTCTGCCATTGGGACCTTCTGAGTGCTGACTCCTAGCCTCCAGACAGGGGCTGCAGACACTTTTATTTTGGGCAACTTGTCTCCAGTCCAGGCTGTAACTGTGACGGTCACAGTGGTAGCCACCCCAGGCCACTGCTCTGAAGCTTTTCTCCAGGACAGTAAATATGCAGGGTGGATGGAACCATCTGTTGCACTCTGTCCACAGCCTTCCCTCCTCCTCTGGCAGGCTGAGCTCCAAGAGGCTGGGAGAGCCCAGGAGGCAGCGGTAGAGACATGCCTGGAATCGGCTTCCACATCTACTGAGCCTGGGCTTTACGTTCCAGGTGTCCTGACCAGGTGAGTGCAAAGGGCAGAGTCGCCCCACTTTGACATAGGCTCTTTCTACAAGGTCTGGTCTCACATACTGAAGGGTCGTGGATTATGCAAACGATGCACTACTCAGAGTTAACTTAATTCTTTAAAAAGCCACTCTGACAAGTGTTAACCAAAGGGCGTTTCCATGAGTGAACACTAGGTCCAGCTAAGCCCAGCTCTGTCAGAGGAGCTCCCTTTAAGGACTTTATTCTCTGGTAGATATGGCTAAGGGCTCCAGGAAACCTTCCAGGGCTGCACCACCATCTTCTCAAGTCATTCATCTAGGCAGGTACTAGGTAAAAATAACTTTTACTATGACAGCAGTGATTCTTCACTTTTTAAATCCTTTACAGGCCTAGGGTACAAACTATGTTCCCTTCACTAATGGGGATTCTCCTCAGCAATGATTTTCAAATTGGGAAAATTGAGAGTTTGAGGGGAGATACCAGAATTCGGGGCTGTGATAGGGTTTACAATGAAATCTCATCATACAAATTCCACTTATGTTTTTCTACACCAATGTACAGTACAGCTTAATATCTCTTAAGTCTAGGTATCTTTCATTATATTAATATTTTTCCAAAAATTTCTCAGCTGTTCTTTTTTTAAAAATTTATTTATTTTTGGCCGTGTTGGGTCTTCGTGGCTGGGCACGGGCTTTCTCTAGTTGCGGCGAGTAGGGGTTACTCTTCATTGCGGTGCGCGGGCTTCACATTGCGGTGACTTCTCTTGTTGCAGAGCACGGGCTCTAGGTGCGCGGGCTTCAGTAGTTGTGGTGCGTGGGCTCAGTAGCTGTGGTTCGTGGGGTCTAGAGTGCAGGCTCAGTAGTTGTGGTGCATGGGCTCAGTTGCTCTGCAGAGTGTGGGATCTTCCCGGACCAGGGATCGAACCTGTGTCCCCTGCACTGGCAGGTGGATTCTTAACCACTGCGCCACCAGGGAAGCCCTCTCAGCTGTTCTTAGACATTTTTTTTCTTCTGTATAAATTTTAAGTCTTCCTATTCAGAAACACAACACACTTCTCAAGAAATAAGAGCCACCACATCAAAATGTTTTAGTGATTCTCATTTTTTGGTAGTATTTTGGGATTTCACTGTAAATAATCATGCCAACTGCAAATAAAACTGGTTTTCTATCTTTTCCATATTTATATCAGTTGTTTCATTTTCTTATCTTATTACATTAGCCAGAACTTCCAATGATTTTCCTATGTTGTTTGCTGTTTATTTTTAGAAGACAGCTTTATATCATGTTTAAATGATATTCTTCTATGTATTTTGGCTGTACTGTTGATTGGTATGTAAAGGTTTATGGCTACTGTACACTGCATGTATTAGTTCTTTTATCACAAAATGTCCCTCTTTCTCTTGTTTAATGTTTTTGGCCCTGAATTCTGTTTGTGTGATACTAATATCGCCACTTTTGCTTTCTATTTATTTGATCTGCTTTGTACATTTTGCCCATCTCTTTATTTTCTACCTTTTTTTTGGCATCACTGTATGTTAGATGCTGGCTCAAAAGCTATTAGCTGCATACTGTAACAGTCATCAGCACTGTTTACCAAATAATTCCAGTTCTCTTTCTGGGCACATGGTAGGATTACACTTCCACAGTCCTTGAAGTTAGGTATAATCATGTGAATTGCTTTGGCCAATAAAATGTAAGCTGAAATAAGTCTTGTTACCTCTGAGTGAAAATTTTAAGAGCCAGTGTGATTTACCACGTTCCCCTTCTGCTGATGTGACAATCATGGAAGCAAAGAGATGGGCCCTCCTTAGTCTGGTCCATGAATGAGGATAAGATAGAGCTATCTAATAGAATAACAGTAGCTATTAGTCACATGTAGCTGTTGAGCACATGAAATGTGGCTAGTCCAAATTTAAGATGTGCTGTAAGTATAAAATACACATCAGATTTTGAAGAATTAGTAAGATAAAAGAATGTAAATTTTATCTCATTGATAATTTTTTCTATCAATTACATGCTGAAATAACATTTTGGACATATTGGGTTAAATAAAAATCTCTTATTAAAATCAATTTCAGGAATTCCCTGGCAGTCCAGTGGTTGGGACTCTGTGCTTTCACTGCCAAGGGCCTGGGTTTGATCCCTGGTTGGGAAACTGGGATCTCACAAGCCGTATGGTATGGCCAAACAAATAAAAAATAAAAATAAAATTTAAAAAATCAATCTCAAGTTTTAAAAAAGATTCTAAAAAATGAGGCTGCTAGAAAAAGTTAAATAACACATGTGGCTCACACTATATTTCTATTGGACATTGGCACAGAACAGATGGCCCAGCCAACCCATGATAAACATGTAGCATGAATGAAAAATTAACTTTCCTTATGTTAAGCCTCTGAAGATTTGGAGTTGTTACTGCAGCATAACTGAACTCACACTGACCCTAAATCTACTCAGTAGTGATTCCTCTTTTCTCCTCTGTGAAAAGAGGTCTGATTTCGTTGACAGCAGGAAACTGCAGGTATAAATCTTTCCCCTTTCAGGCCTCTCTTGCTGCTGGAGGGCAGCCAGGTGACAAAGTCCTGGCCCATAAGACATAAGCAGAAGGACTTTCCTGGGACTTTCTGTGAAAGCATTTCCATAAAACGGACAGACATGGCTAGTGCTACTCCTCCCTCTTGTATTCTCTTAAATGTGGATATGATATCCGAAGCCTGTGACTTTGAGATGATAGTAAACAACAAGCATGAGGATGAAGGCAAACACTCCAAGAACGGTGGAGCAGAAAGATCAAAAGATAGAAGAACAGAAAGAGTTTGGGACCCTGATGGTATCACCATGCATCTAAACTACATCCAGCAACTGCCAGCATCAAGTTTTATACGTGAGGAAAAGAATCTCCTATTTGGCTAAGTTATTATTTGTCAGTTTTCTTTTACTTGCTGCCAAAATCATTCCTATCTGATACAGGTGTATTCTTGGAGACAGCATCCAGCTGAATTTGTCATGCCAATCTGATAGAGTCTTGGTCTTTTGTTAGGAGAATTTCGTTCATTAAACTTGGTTTTATGCCTACTCTTTGTTAGGCTCCTATTTATTGTTATTTATTTTCCCCTTTCCTTAATTTTTCTTTCTTTTTGGCTGCACCACATGGCATGCAGGATCCTAGTTCCCCGACCAGGGATCGAACCTGTGCCCCCTGCATTGGAAGTGAGGAGTCTTAACCATTGGATGGCCAGGGAAGTCCCCCCTTTCCTTAATTTTGATGGCTTGTTCACAATTCTGTTTATTTTCCCTTTCACTCTCTGTGAAGTTTGAGGATCTATTTTCTAATTGTGCTACTCATCACAGTTCTGTTTCTAATAATTGTATTTATTTCTACATTTTCTACAATTATATCATAACTGAGTATCAGTCTCACCCAGATTGTTTTTTTTGTCCCCTTTCTGAATCATTCTATGTCTGAAAATGTACTTCTTTTGCCTTAGTAGATAAATGATTATCTTGGTTACATGTAGAATTTTGGGTTTGTAACTCTTCTCTCAGTAGCAAACATTTTTTCATAGTCTTCTGGCTTGCAGTGTTGCTGACGAGAAGTCTGGTGCTAGTATAATTCTCCTTTCTTTGAAAATATCTTGTTCCAGTAGCTTGTAAGATTTCCTTTATACTTAAATTTCAGAATTTCAATGGCATATATCTAGGCATACATGTGCTCCTTTTCTTGCTGCCACTAATCCTGCTGCAGATTTGGTAAATCCTCTCAATCTGCACATTCAAGGTTTTTTTTCAGCTCAAGAAAATTTTCTTCTATTACTTTTTCTCTTCCTGGAATTCCTATTATTTGCATGTTAGGTCTCCTAGATGTTTCTTCCCACCTCTCACAATTACTGGCTCTGTGTTTTTGATCTGAATTGTTAAGATATTTTTTCCACTTGCTCCTCCAGAACATTAATGCAGTTCTCAGCAGTGATCATTCCCACTCTTTTTCTCAGTTCATTTACTGAATTTTTGTATTTAGAAATCAAGGGATTTTTTTTTTTAAGTTCTAAAATTTATTTGTATACTCAAAATTCATTTCGGGACTTCCCTGGTGGTCCAGTGGTTAAGACTCCTTGCTTCCAATGCAGGGGGCGCAGGTTCGATCTCTGGTCGGGGAACTAAGATCCCACATGCCGTGAGGCAGGGTCAAAAAAAAAAATTCATTTCTTGAACTATCATTTTCTTCTACCTTTTCCATTAGTTTTACCTCAGTGGGAGTCTCACATTCTAGATTTTCAACTTGGAATCTCCTCGGCAGTGGTAAATGAGGGAACACTGCGAGGCCCAGCACTGTGAGGCAGAGCTGTTTTCATGGTCCAGCAGAGCCCAAGTTGACAAAGCACAAAGAGATGAAAAAGTCCCTGTACTACTGGGTTCCTCCAGGGCACTAGACTGAAAGCAATTCAGCTCATCAGTGCAGCCCCTCCAGGGACCACACACATTAAGTGGGCAATGCAGGCCCTTTCCAAGGGGATCCACAGGCTCCCGCTGGCTTGTTGACCTCACAGGACTTCACATTTCAAGTCTTCATCCCAGGACTGCAAGAGAGGCAGGCATTTTCCTCTGATGTGGTTCCCTGCTTCTTACTGAGTATCAGAGAGAATGAATTCTGTGCCCTCTCTTTCCCCTGGAGATGTCAGGAAAAGTGGAGGCCTTGATGTACTTCCCAGGCTCCACCAGCAGGCTCACCTGGGTTTATCCAGAGAGGGAATTTAAATGGTCAGAACCACATGCTCAAGCTGTAGTCTTCCCAGAATCCTCTTCCTTATGTTCGTATGCACTTTTAAAATAATCTATTTTCTAATCTATTTTCTAATTAAGCTTTTCTGTGAAAATTGGGAAAAGAAAAAAGAAAAATAAGGCACAGAGGAGAAGAGAAAATCTTACACAGATTCCACAAGTCTGAAATAATCTCTTCATATTTTGGCATATGTCATTCTGGTCTTGTAAATGCCTGTGTGTGTGTGTATGTGTGCTTATGACCATATACATACTTATAAATATACTTGCCGACTATATTTTAACCTTTTTTCCCCAAGTGATATATAGTGAACATCTTCCTGTATCAGTAATATTTATGAGACATCATTTTTAATAGCTGCATACTATTTGATTGTATGGTTACTGTATAGGTCTTTTATTGTTTATTGTCGATCATCGGCTCACTTATAATTCTGCAACATTATAATCTATGCTGGATGGTATCTTATGGTTAAATCTTTGCACATCCATACTCATGTCAATAAGGAGGAACTGCTTGGGTGGACAGATAGGTATATTTTTAAGGTTTTTTGTTTGTTTGTTTGTTTGTTTGTTTTGCGGTATGCGGGCCTCTCACCGCTGTGGCCTCTCCCGCTGCGGAGCACAGGCTCCGGACGCGCAGGCTCAGCGGCCATGGCTCACGGGCCCAGCCGTTCTGCAGCATGTGGGATCTTCCCGGACCGGGGCACAAACCCGTGTCCCCTGCACCGGCAGGCAGACTCTCAACCGCTGCGCCACCAGGGAAGCCCTATTTTTAAGGTTTTGAGATCACACTGCCAAATTTCTCTCCGGAAAGGTGTAACCAATTCACACTCCTACCAATAACCAATTTACATCCTCTACTCTCTCTCTCACTACCCCCATGCCAAACCCAAATATTATTTTTAAAAATATCTTTTGATAATTTGATAGATGGAAAAGGATATCTCATTGTTTTAGCTTGCACCTCCTTGATTACTAACTATTGAACATTTTTTCATGTTTACTGACCAATTGTGTTTCTTATTTTATGAAACGTCAGTTCATGTCTTTTGCTCACATTATTTGGGATATAAAGTTTTATGACTCTTGTGTCCTTGATAATGAATAATCTCCTTTGTCTCTTTCAGTGCTTTTTACCTGAAATTCTCTTTCAATGCTTTTTACCTGAAATTCTCTTTCAACTGAGATTACTATTATAATCCCTGCTTTCTTTCTTTTTTTTTTTTTTTTGACGGTACGCGGGCCTCTCACTGTTGTGGAGCACAGGCTCCGGACGCGCAGGCTCAGCGGCCATGGCTCACGGGCCCAGCCGCTCCACGGCATGTGGGATCTTCCCGGACCGGGGCACGAACCTGTGTCCCCTGCATCGGCAGGCGGACTCTCAACCACTGCGCCACCACGGAAGCCCTTTCTTTTTGTTTATACTTGTGTGATGTCTTTTTGCTCATTCTCCTACTTTTAACTGTTCTGAGTCATTTTGTTTTGAATATGATGTCTGTTAGACAGCATGTGAGTAGAATTTGTTCTTTTTTAACCTATTGTGATGATCTGACTTAAAATTTTTTATTTGACACATATGAAAGAAGATGTAACAAATACGTTTATTATTAAACGAGGTAGTTAAATTCACTTATATTTATTATTGGCTTTTTTCCAAGTCTCTGTGTCTTCTCTGGTCTTTCCATTTCTTTGTCTGCTCCTGGTTCTTTAACTCTCTTTCACACAACTTCCCATGACAGAATGTTACAAAAATATGAAGTGACTCTTATAACTCGCATCAAATATGTTCTTCAGTTGCTAAATGGGAATGACTGACATATCCTGTAACAAAAAAGATGACTTTTTTGGTAATTTCAAATCTTTAAGTAAATGGCTGCGCACATACTGTCACAGATTCTGACTAAGGATGCTCGTCAAGGACGGGACAGACGCGCGGTGGCGGAAGAACACCGGGGCTGCTGCGTCGGCACTGACCTTCTGAAGCCCGCCGTTACTGACCTTCTGAAGCCCGCCGTTCTCCTCCACCAGCGGCGGAAGAACACCGGGGCTGCTGCCTGGCGGAGCGTCCACATTGTAATCACGGAAGCAGCAGAAGAAGGAGCTGAGGATGCTGCGGCTCCTCTGCTTCTTCAGGCTGACGTTGCACTGGGATGCTGGGAAGAGAAACAAAGCACAGCGTGGCCAACTGTAATACTACGGGAAAACTCGAACGTGCAGCCGCCCCAGAGCCCTGACATGTGGAGACCAACTCAGGACCAGAAGACCAGGGGAGCCAGGAAGTTCCTCTAAAAGATTGTTACGTGACTCCTAGAGGGCCAGACAGTCGATGGAGTCCAGTCCTGCTGGCTGGACAGAATTCCCCTGATCTCGGCCCAGTGGGGGCTGCTTGCTCATTAGCTGACCCATCCCCGGGGCCATCTGCCTTCCTGAGACCAGCAGATAAAGTCTTCCAACCCTGCACAAGTGCTACTTCAAAACATAGATCCTTGCAGGCACAAATCAGACTTGTCCCTCGCTGAGAAGCATTTCTCTGTGAAGGGTACCAAGGAAGTCACATTGAAACTGGGTTCTTGGGCACTCCCTGCTCACCATGGAAACAACTAACTTCATAGGTTAATAAATAAGATGTGTGAAGGCACAAAGCAGCCCTCTTCTTAAACTCCTAAACCCATTTGGCAAGAAGTTGATAGGAGCCTGGACCCACAGAGCTCAGGGGTGGAGGCTTCCATCACACTTAAAACAGAAACAGCAGGAGAGGTGGGACAGAACATCAGGGCTGGCCAGGGCAAAGCCTATCTTCACGAGACCCAGGGCAATACTGTGCCACTGACTCATTCCCTGGCCTGTCCTGGATTGAGGCTCCGGAGGGAGGGATGGATCCTTTCTGTTATCCAGGGCTCAAGACAAGTCGCCACAAGTCAGAAATAAAAGACAAAAGTTAGTACAGATGAGAAACACACCTCAGGGGAGGAGACTGACAATTTGGAGGTGCAGGAGCATTTAGCCCTGGGAATGCAGTCCCACCACATACCACGTCTGGGTGGGTCAGCAGCAGTCCCACCACATACCATGTCTGGGTACAGGCTACGGGCACAGGGACCATGCTTGGGGTTGATGGGAAGATCACCACTGTAGGAAATTATTAAGTTCGCATGATAACTGTTGGAGTCTGTCTCTCCCACAAAGCAATTCTGGCACGATTCCTCTTTGTACACTTGAGGGATTTGTATAGCACCTGCCCTCTCAAGAGATCACAAAACCTTTGCTGAAAGTCTGCAGGTACCCTTCTGCCAGCAGCAAAACCAAATGCATTCAGAAATTCTGAGAAAGGACTGAAAGGCTGTTTTGCCAGCAGCTCCACAGGCCTGGGTGGTCTTTAGCCTGGGTTTAGGCAAATGGCCCAGGAAGTGTGAATTTAAGATAATCGCTGGGAACTCCTTGGCGGTCCAGTGGTTAAGACTTGGCACACTTTCACTGCCGGGGGCCCGGGTTCGATCCCTGGTCAGGGAACTAAGATGCCGCAAGCTGCCTAGCACAGGCAAAAAACAAACAAACAAACAAAAAAACCCCTTCATTAATTAAAGATGATCTTTAGAACCATAAATCTCTGGAAAAGCTGGCTGTTTCTTCTTCCTTATGAATCCTTAGGTTCATGTCACAGGGCACCCGTCTTCTCATTTCAGGCCCCACTCGTCCGGCCAGACCAGACCATGGGGGCCACCAGGCACAGAGGCCTCCCACACAGCAGTGGTGGCAGCGACAGTGACCACTGTTTCCTGGGGCCAGCCCTCTGGTTTCTAGTACTTTACAGTCCTCATCTCATGTCATCCTCACAGCTACCCAAGGAGATAGGTGTGATTGCTTCCATCTAACTGCTGAGAATATACAGCTAGTAATTGCACGTGCCCAGATTCAAACCCAAGTGGGTCAGTTTCCAGAGCGCGTGCTTTCCCCATGCACCACACTGAAGACAATTCTGAAACAACTCAGGTCAGATTAAGAAGGAGGGAACGTGCCAAACAGAGAGAAAAGCACTGCCATAAACTAATATTTAATATAAATGATTGGTTAAGCTGTTTTGTTGTTACTTTGGGTATTTTAGTTTTTTATGCCTCACTCAGATAATTTAGTCAGAGGAAGAAAAGACTGTCTCTTCCCCGGCTGAGAGCACATTTCTCTGCAAGTAAACAAGCTGTTTGTTCATGTCTTGGTGACACTGAGCCGTCAACACCCAGGCCGGGCAGTAAAAAGCTCTGCAAAAAATGCACTTTCCCGGATCCTATTTTCATCCTTGGGTCACATAAGTCTTCCCCATAACTAACAAATTAACAAGCTAACTTATGTGCTAAAAAAAATCCTGACCATGGAGCCAGGGGGCTACTTATAATTCCACCATATGATTACTTGCCATGTGGCAGCCACAAAGAGGGCTGCAGGGTCACTATTTGCTCAGGTCACTTGGGAGGCCATCACCCCTGACAATGGCAGCTCACTCCATTCCCCCGTCTATGTAGGAAGAGGTGAAGCAGCTCATGGCTGTGGGAGGGTCCAGGCATCTTCCTGCTAAATAAGGTCACTACTAGGGCCCGTAGGAACCTCCGGGCAGCTGGGGGCTTTCGAATCTTCTAATCACCCTTGGGTTGGGCTGGTGCTCTCAAAAGCAGGCTAGCTGGGGAAATGGCTGGATTCCCTCAGGACCAGCATGAGCCCACCCTGCCCACGGCACTCACTGTTCCTGAAAGGTCAAGGTGGGCTGTATGGGTCTCATGACCGTGCTGCCTTCCACCCCAGATGCTGCCTCTCCACCAGCTACAATCCAGAAGGCCCTTGATTTACTCATAAACTTCTGGTAAAAGGGTTTCAGTTGATACACGAAATCAACATCTATGGTTTTTTTTGTTGTTGTTTTTTGCAGTACACGGGCCTCTCACCGCTGTGGCCTCTCCCGTTGCGGAGCACAGGCTCTGGACGCGCAGGCTCAGCGGTCATGGCTCACGGGCCCAGCCGCTCTGCGGCACGTGGGATCCTCCCGCACCGGGGCACGAACCCGTGTCCCCTGCCATCGGCAGGCGGACTCCCAGCCACTGCGCCACCAGGGAAGCCCAACATCTATGTTTTAATGGACAAATGTTTATAACATTAGATCAAAAAAGCAAGATAAATAATTGTATATCTGACTTGATCGTAACTGTGCAAAAACAAATGAAAAGAGATTGTAGTAGAGAAAAGATTGGCAAAAATATATCGCAATGTTAACAGTAATTGTCAGACTCTGGGTATTTACACCTCTTCCTTCTATATTTCCCCAATGTTTTATAGTCATTACATTTTACTCTAACAATGGGGAAAGAAAACAGTCTCGTTAAGCTTTCTTTCAGCAACTCTGTAAAGCTCAGGAGAAACCATATCCTACGCCCAAACCCAAACCCTTACACCTATTCCTCCGCTTTCCACTCCATGCCTGTGAAGGGCAAAATGAGGCAAGAGCAGCGTCATAAGCCTTGCAGGAGGTAATTGTCACTGCTGTGGTGGCCCAGGCTCAGCCCCGGACCGTGACATTGCCGGGGTGGAACATGCCCACCAACCCAAACCAGAGGGGCCCACGTGAAGAGAGGGCACCGAGTCCATGATCTGCCCCAGCAGCGTGCTCCCACTGGCTTTCCCGGCTGGCAGCCCACCCAGCCTCTCACCACCTGGCCTCACTCGCCCCTTTGAATGTCCCTACTGATAACACGAGAGGCCCCCTGCTGGCCCAGGGAGCCAGAAGAAGGTCTTTATCAGAATTGTAACAGTAGGGTATGAAAATCAGTTTAATATGTACATCTTCCAGTTACACTGGTTTTAAGAATACTTTGGAGGAGTAAAGGAGAGAGTAGGAACTTTGAACATCAGTCTCGAACATTTCATAAAGATTTCCATGTTTTATCAGATTTAGGAGGAAAACATCAAAAATTATTCTGAAGTTTTCTGTTGCTTTCCCTGATCATCTTCCTGCTCCTATCCACGTCCACACCTGTGCACCTCATGTTCGGTTTCCTCCTCATGGTAGACGCCTCATCATGCTGACATCATACCCCCCACTCCTCCTCTCCTCATACCCCACTTCTGAGAACATTCCTGTTCTTCAGGGGCTGGTTCAAAGCCCAACCCCTTGAAGGAAGCCTGTCCCAGTGGAAGGGATTTGGTCCTTGGCCACTGAACTCCCAAATAAACACATGTCTGTCTGGGCTACATCTTCAGCCCATTCCTCTCTCCCAACTTCCAGGCCAGTTTATCCACCTGCCTGCCAGATGGACATCTCCTCCAGATGCCTCCTAGGAGTGCTTCACCCAGCAGGTCCCCTCTTTACCTGGGGCATCAATCTCCGAGTCTAAACATCTACCCTTCCCCCTCTCATTAAGTTGTTGGTTTTGATATCCTTGGTGGTTCTTAAATCTGTCCTCAACAATGCCCTGTCCCTTTCATATCCCAGTTGAGGCCCTCATCATTCTGTCCCCGGACAACTACAATAGCGGCAGAACTTGTTTCGCTGCTGCTGATTCTGTGTCCTATAATTAATCATTGACATGACCCACCGAGGTGTAGCCCAACAAGTGAGGAGACTGGTGGTTGTGAATGTGGCCTCTGAAGTCAGCCTCCTAGGTGTTGGCTCGACCAGTAAATGTTACGGGACCTAAGTTATATGACTTCTTTGTGCTTCAGTTTCCTTATCTGTAAAATAGAAACAATAGGCTTGTTGTGAGAATTAAATGAGTTCGTATAAAGTACACAGAACAGTACCCAGCACAGGGTAAGCACTTCATAAATGTCAGCTCTTATTATTATCATTAGTTTCTGAAGAGCTTGTGCTTCGTAAAGGAGTAGGGGTTCTGCTGGTAAATCCCGGATCAAAGGCTGGATCCACATTGGGTCCAAATGTGGGTCCACATTTGTGCCCTGCCGTCTGACAACTAGGAGGCATAACTTCCTATAACAGACCTTGGTTGCTTAAACTGTAATTTAGAAAGCAAAACTAGAAAAATCTCAGAAGTGATTCTACTCAACTGCTCTAAAACCTGGAGAGGCAGAGATGAGGAAAGAAAATGGAGGGAGGGGTGAAGCGTCCAGATGAATGCTGTTGGGGACTGTTTACCTGCTTCCCCTTAGAAAAAGAATACTGCTTTCAAGATGAGGGGAGGAAGCATCCACTCTCTCCTGCCCACTTGCTCAACCCTCCTCTGCTGAGCTCTGCCCCTGCCCTGTCTGCATCTGATCCAGGGTCTCCTTGCCCCATGCTGTGCATCAAAAGGGAGCACCCTCCCGGGGGAGGAGGACTGCGTGAGGACCAGGCAAGGAGGCCAACAGACCCATCGTGGCTCTCCTGCAGGCTCCCCTACTGGGCCACTGTATGCTGTCATTTCCCCCCCGGCTCTGGGAGCGCAGGCCCATCAGAAGGAACTCTTCTTCTTCCTCAGTCCTGCTAATGAAGACATGCCTGTGGCTGGTCCCAGCAGCTGCCCTTCTCTCCACACAGATGGCTGGCCCATGAAAATGGCATCCTACAGGGTAGGATGGGGAGATCCCCGGCAGGGGCAGATGGGGTGATCCTAAGACTTCCCCCATTTTTCTGAGCAGGCCTGTGTGGAGCAGAAATCCTGGGAAGGGTTGTGAAGAGCTGGAGACGTTGGGCAGGGGCCTCACCCATGTGCCTGGAGCTCTCTGACCATGTGGGGAGTGTGTGACGTTGAGGACAAACAGACACGTGGCCCGGTTTTCCTCGATACACCCTGGGAGCTAATGCCTCTCTCTTTGTCCCTGTACTTGATGTCACTGCAGCCACCAGATGAACAACCTGCTTCCCACTCATACACCCCCCCGCCACCGTTCTCCTTCAACGGCTGGGGACCTCCCATCCTCCAGCACAGCAGATGAGGGGCTTAGAGAGGGCCTATGAATGGGGCGGCTAACATGAGTGCAGAGATGGCTGCCTTGCTTGAGTCTTCAGTCCTAAAGGTGAGACAGGAAGCGTCCTCAATACCTCCCTGGTCTCTCTTGGCAGACTGCTGGTCCAGTAGCAAGGACCAGTATCTTCAAAGCACCAGTTGCTGATGGGCAGTGTAGTAGACGTGTGACATTTTTGCCTGCCAAGATCCATTTCCCATCCTCTGGTAAAAGTTCCACCACTCTCACCTCACCAACTCTCAGTCCATTACCAAAGCCTGGCCAATAAGAGCCATGTGATTGGCTTAGAGATGGGCGCATGACCCAAGCTGGGCCGAGGAAAGTCGGCCCCTGGATTCACGTTACGGCTATTGGAGGAAATGTTCTCTTTTTGCTGGTTTGTTAAGCTGGCAGGATGTAAGCCTGGAGCCACCAGCGGCCATCCTGGCCACCAAGCGAGAAGCACCTACCTGACTGATCACGTGAGCCAAAACTGAGTTGTGAAGAGGGGCAGATCTCTGACTTGATTTCAGTAAACCAGATCTTTCTGGCATTTTCAGTTATGTGAATCTCTTTTTCTTTGAAGCCAATACGAATTGGGTTTATGCTATCTGCAATGGAAAGGATTATCCCTGAAAATGTGAGCTCCTAGGCGAGGCAGTGCAGAGACGCTGATAAATCACACAGGCACCGTCCCTACCTCATGACACGCACGCCTAGGAGGAGAGACACGAGAATAAGCAATTCTAATACAGTATGAGTCTTCTTATGATGGGGTAGCACAGGGCGCTGCTGGAGCCCAGAGAAGGGCACAAAGTCCAGATTTGGCAGGGGGTGGGTAGGAGTGACTTCTTAGAAGAAAGTAGTCTGACAACTGGGCTGAAGTTGTATAAAATTGTTGGAGGTGGGGGGCTTCCCTGGTGGCGCAGTGGTTGAGAGTCCGCCTGCCGATGCAGGGGACACGAGTTCGTGCCCCAGTCCGGGAGGATCCCGCATCCCGCGGAGCGGCTGGGCCCGTGAGCCATGGCCGCTAAGCCTGTGCGTCTGGAGCCTGTGCTCCGCGACAGGAGGGGCCACAACAGTGAGAGGCCCACGTACCGCAAAAAAAAAAAAAAAAAAAAATTGTTGGAGGGGGCAGGGAAGTAGGGAAACAGCAACGTGTAAAGGCCCTGAAGTGAGAGAGAGCATGAAATATTTGAGAAATCAAAGAGGCGAGGTGTTATGAGATGGGGATGATGACAGCAAGGGCCTTGTAAACCACGGTGATGAGTCTGGATTTAATTCTATGGACCCGGGGAATGACGTAATCAGATCTGTACCACACACGTCATGGTTTGACTTCTGTAACTGGAACTACTGAGTTTAAATTTTAGATTATGACTAATGTAAGCTATCTATATACACACAGATTTCCAGGATGTTTAAAAATCACAGATGTGGCCTCTTTTATGTAACATGCCTAGAATGGAATTTCTTATTTGAAAACTGACTTTATTTATTTATTTTTAAAATTTATTTATTTTATTTATTTTATTTTTGGCTGCACTGGGTCTTTGTTGCTGCACGTGGGCTTTTCTCTAGTTGAGGCGAGCGGGGGCTACTTTTCGTTGCAGTGTGCAGGCTTCTCATTGCTGTGGCTTCTCTTGTTGCGGAGCACAGGCTCTAGGCCCATGGGCTTCCATAGTTGTGGCATGCAGGCTCAGTAGTTGTGGCTCGCGGGCTCAGTAGTTGTGGCTCGCGGGCTCAGTAGTTGTAGCACATGGGCTTAGTTGCTCCGCGGCATGTGGGATCTTCCCGGACCAGGGCTCGAACCCGTGTCCCCTGCATTGGCAGGCAGATTCTTAACCACCAGGGAAGCCATGAAAACTGACTTTAAATACAAGTTACACGGAAAGAAAATGGGCTTTAGAATTACATTTACATAGAATTACCCTGCCTTCTGTTTGCCAGTGTGAATTCATCTACCTAAGCCACACAGGTAACAGGGGAATCATAACACCTACCCCCACAGGGTTGTTGTGTGGATGCAGCAAAACCATGTATGTTTGTGTAAGAGAGAAAATCTATCAGCAGCTTAAGATATAGCAACAAAAACTGATGATTGGTTTAGGCCCAGTGCAGTGTCTCACTGTGAACAGAAGTTAGTGACTGTATCCAGACAACAGTCCTCACAAAAACAGCCTGGCTTTAGGAGAAAACACGTAGGCAGACCCATTTTGGTTCTGGTTATGTGAATTCTAAACTTAGAACTTGAAGTAGCTCTTTCAAACTCTACCTCCTATCTAGTGAAGGTTTCTTTGTATAATAATAATAATGTTAGAAAGTAAACAAGTAAGAAGCAGCTCTACATGTGAAACTTAAACCCTAGGATTCAGGCCTTTTTGAAGAAATCTTACATGAAATATGGTTAGAAATAAAGTGTTGTAGTTAAAAACATGGAAAGTCTTGGAGAAAGACCACCAAGGCTGACGGTGGGGTTTGGCCCTTCACTGGGACAAGAGGACTGTGTTTATGCCAACAGACAGAAGGCACAACGGAACCCACAATGGGTTGGTATGACAGGCCGAGAGGGGCATTTCTGATCATCCTCTTATACTTACTTCCTGACCTGACTGGTTTCCTTCTGTATCCAGAAATGGAAATGTTGACCCCAAAGCCAGCGTTTCCTAGTTAGTGTGATAGCTGCCCACGTCACATAACCACTGCCCTTTGACAATTCTGACCTGGTTTCGATTCCAGATGTGGAGAGGCTTAGGAACCGTCCTGAATCCCTGGCTGCAGGATCACAACCTCTGGGGTCTACACTGATTCAGAGCTTTGCACACTCTCCTCTGTGAGCACCCCACCCACCCATCCGTCCTTATCTCTGATCTGAGCTCAAACTCCCGGCGACCCCCTCCCCCATCTCTACAGATCCAAGGAGTGCTTCAGGGTCAAGATGAAAGTAGCTGAAACATAGGTGGAAATGTTTGCTACCAACTATGACTCCACCCCCAAACATTCAAGTGAGGAAACTGCATCTTGGCAGCTATAGAGAACAAGGTTTACCTTTCATTTCCACAATGCCAAGCCAGCCTACATGCCGACTCAGGGTCCAGACTACCGAAGACCCCGAGTAACAGAATTTCCAGGAGAAAACTGACTTAACACATGAATTCTACTGCTAATGTGTCATAGCACCAAAACCTGCCATCAGAACCAGCTTCTTTCATGCCACGAGCAGAAGCGAGAAAGGTATTGCGTAGCAGATTTGTGTCATCCACGTATTTACAGCAGAACATTAAAAACATGTGGACACCAATGCTGTTACAGCTGCAAAACTGGACACCAAAGTTTCCCAAAGTAGGCTATTTCTCCATACATGGGGATGTCAGAGCGCATTACAACCCTGAAGAGACCGTACAGCTGAATTCACAACCACTTTACCACAGAAAATGCTAAACACCTTTTTTTAAGGGAGGAGGGGGAGTTCCTCTGAGGGTCAGCTTTTAAATGAATGCACCATTTCTTCTCTTCCAGAACTGGGCTACAATCTCTGGAATGCATCCCAGGGCCGAGGTTTGGAATGGGTGTCTAACAGGAAATTCTGGGCAGTCTATGCATACATTACATTCCTTTCCCACCCTGAAACAGTTGTCAACAAACACAACTTTCCCCTGTTTGAATAAAAGGGGGGGTTGGGGGGTGGGGAGAGGCCAGGGCACAGACCGCACAGAGTTCAAAAGCAGATGTAGCTGCTGAGAATCCAAACATCCTCTTCTCCTAGGAAAAGGACTTAGTCACTTTTCAAGATGTCCCATCAGTCCCTACTTTCTTCCCAAGTGATCGATTTGCTCAGGGAATTCCACCCGCCACTCTGTGAAAGAAATGTACCTTTGGAAGCTCTTGTCCCTTCTGCAGCCTGTAACTGGCAGTGGTTCCTCCAGCAGTGAGACATCAAGGGGAGGGCCCATAAGGGTTGATGGCTAAAAACCGGGCAGGAGAAATCCTAATCTCATCCTCTGAGACGGAAGGTTGAGCTTCCCCATTCACAGTTGGTTCGTAACAGCCCACGTTAGTTGAGTGCCTTGTTTGTGTGAGGTCCCTGACATAAATCACTTGTGGCCTTCATGATGTGCAGTGCCATTTTCCGATGAGAAGACAAGACCAGGAGTACATATAACTGTGCAGTGAGGGTGCTGGGGTTCAAAGCCAGAGCAGCCTGGCTGCAGAGCTCCCGGCCTTCCTACCACCCTTCCCTGCCTCTCCCCAGCACTTGATGGGTTTGGGTTTTGTTTCCAGGGAGAAACTGAATATGAAGCCTTATGCCACCTGCCTTCACTCAAAATACCACACTTCTGAAAACTCCAAAATGAACCAGTGCTACTCCCGGCAACCCTATTAGATGAAGCCAGACACAGTGGCTGTTGTGCCGTCCCCCGAATGTACCCAGGCCACCGAACTCTGTGACTCAGCTTCCCAGGAGAGCCCCTCGGCTGGGAATGCCTTTCCTGGCCTCAGCACTTCCCCAAACCCCTGTGCCCCACGTCACACAGCTCCGAAGTAGCAGGGCTGGAGATAAACCAGGTCTGTGTGGGTCTAGAATCTGAGCTCTTAACCATCACTATACAGAATCTGTTTTTCACACTGAGAGCCAAAATAAGTATTGGAACAAAGGATTTAAACAGATGACGCACTTATTTAGAGGAAGCAAAGGTTAAAATTTAACAGTAATCAAATAAATGAATGTTTAAACAACGAGGTCCAGTTTTGGACCTAAAAAATAAGCAGAAATGATAAAAATAAAAACATATAGCCAATGGTGGTAAGGCTTTGACGGCCTGGGCCCATTCACTCACACATTGCTGGTAACTCTGTAAACTGGAACAATCCATATGACAAGTAGGTGAGTGATGTGTCAAAGACCACGAGGTGTTTATGCCGGTAATCTGACCGCCCAACAAAGCGGGGTGCTTAGTTAAATCAGTGCACAGCAACTGGAGCGAATACTGTGCAGCCACAAGAAATGACCATTATGAAGACATGTGGGGAAGCATTTGTGGTCAGGCGGGTCACCTCAGACACCGTGCTGCCCGATGTCTGTAACTTTGTCATGTGCTTCTGGACACGGTGGGGAAGGTAGGCTCCAGGGGTACTGGCTTGGAACGTATCTTGTTCATGTCTCAGTCCTTAAGATCTAGAAACACAATAGTACAAAATAGGCCTGACATAACAAATGTTTATTGAACGAATGAATGTGTGAAAGGAAACACAGAACAATGAAAATGACTGATTTGATAAAAAGGAACAGCTCCTGCAATTCTTTAAGACCACGCTCAGCCGAGCAGCATGTCTTTCCTGGGAAGCCCTCTTGCCCACAGTGAGCCTCCCTCTTCCAAAGAGCTTTAATCTGTGCCACCCACACAAGGCCAACTCTCATCTGGGGAACCCAACTCACAGCTCCCTGCCATGTTTAGCAAAGATGGCAACTCCTACTTCCTATAAAGTAATTAATGCAAGTTTTCTTATGTGAAATCCACCAGTATGTTAAGTGAGCACAGCAATCTCTGGATCGTAGGACTAGGTTAATTATTATTTTTCTTTATACTTTTTTTATTGCTTCTCAATGTCTACAATCTGCATCATGTTTATAGTGGAAAAAACTGAGTAAATATTTAAAATGTTTGTTTCTACTTAATATGTGAACATTTTCACATTTCAACAGATATCCTTCTATAACCTTATTTTGGTTGGTTGTATTGGATTCCACTGTATGGATGTGCACTGTGTCATAATTAAACTAACTTTGGACATTTATGTTGTTTCCTTCAAACTGTGTCATAATACTGCAATTTGTTTGCAACAGCAATGCTGACCTCCGCACAAACTAGTTGTTCATCAATGTGGGACAAAATGTTATATCTATCTATCTATCTATCTATCTATCTATCTATCCCTGGTGTGGAATATTATACAGCCGTGAAAAAGAAGGCTGCAGCTCCCTGTGCACTGATAACAGCCAACACTTATCTTACCTAAGATGTACCAGGCACTATTCTATGCACTTTACATACATTGGCTCATTTAATCCTTTCAGTAATCTTATGAGGTTAGGACTACTATTATATTCATTTTATAGATGAGGAAACTAAGTCCCAGAGAAGTTAAGAAACCTGCCCAAGATGACACAGCTAGTAAGTAGTAGGCTTTATTCAAATCCAAGTAGTCTGGGCTCTTAACCTCTGCTTTATATTGCCTACTGATAATGGAGCACATTCTGAGATACATTAAATGAGAAAAGCAAGGACATTGGAACATATAGTGTACTACCATCAACCTTCAAATACAAAATCAAATAAATTAACAAAATAGAATGCACAAGCGTGTGCATATTCTTACATGTGCAAAAAGTATCTCTATAAGTAACTGTTGCCCCATGGGAGACGAATGGAGGACACACCAGAAGGGAGGGAGAATTACTTTTCACTCTATTCTCTTTAGTATCCTTTGGATTGTGTATCATGTATTAAAATAATAATTGCATACTGTATATCATGCATTATAAGTAAAAAATTAAATCATCAAAAATAATATGGCAGTGAGCATAGCATACATAATTTTATGTGCACATCTGATTTATCCCTTAGAAGAAATACCTAGAAGTGTAATTGCTTTTCAAAGGCCAAAGTCTTTGAAAAAAACGTCAAGCCTCTTGATATCTATGGACAATCTGCCACTTAGAGAGGCAGTGTGTATGCGCACCCCCTCATGGGGTGTTCCACTTAGGCTGTGCAAACTCTGAGACTTTAATTGGCCTTTGCCAAGCTGAAAGGTGAAAATAGTAACTTGCTGTTGCTTTAATTTGCATTTCTTGGATTGCCACCCAAGTTCTACAATCTCTCATATACTTTTTTTTTTAAATAAATTTATTTATTTAGTTTTGCCTGCATTGGGTCTTCGTTGTTGCACGTGGGCTTTCTCTAGTTGTGGTGAGCAGGGGCTACTCTTCATTGCAGTGCATGGGCTTCTCATTGCGGTAGCTTCTCTTGTTGTGGAGCACAGGCTCTAAGCGCGCGGGCTTCAGTAGTTGTGGCGTGCGGGCTCAGTAGCTGTGGCTTACAGGCTTTACAGTGCAGGCTCAGTAGTTGTGGTGCACGGGCTTAGCTGCTCCATGGCATGTGGGATCTTCCCAGACCAGGGCTTGAACCCATGTCCCCTGCATTGGCAGGCAGATTCTTAACCACTGTGCCTCCAGGGAAGTCCCTCTCATATACTTTTTGGTCATTTCTAGTTCTTCTTTTGAAAACTGTGCTTATATATTTTTGCCTATTTTTCTATATTTTTTCTTTGACTTATAAGTGTTCCTTTGTCACATATTAGAGACATAATTCTTGGACTGTTCTGTACATTGGAAATTGCATCAGTTTGTTTTCAGCCTTCTACTTTTTTAAAATAGTAGTTATGTACGTGCAGAAGTTTTAGTTTTTAGGAAGTCAAATCTAACCATTTTTCAAATGATTCCTTCCCAACCTAATACAGTATACTATTCACTTATATTTTCTTCTAGTTCTTTTTTAGTTTAAAGTAAATATCTTTTAAAGTAAAGATTTTATCTGTTTTATCGGTTTTACCTGTTTATTCTGGTACACAGTAGGATATATGAATCTACCTTTTCCCCCCAAAAGATTAGTCAAATATACTAATAATATTTATTGAACAATTCGCCCTATACAATGATTTGGGCATTCTATTCTACCCTATCCCATACCATCCCATCTCATCCCACTCCTTTTCTTGTGCCAGTAACACATAGCTTTGCTACTGTAGATTTAATGTTTTATATTTAATAGTACCAGTCCTTCTTTATTATTTATTTTCAAAAACTTCTTGTATAGTCTAACCCTTTATGCTTCCAGATGAATGTCAGAATCACTTTATCAAGTTTTAAAAAAATACCACTGGGATTTAGTTGCATTAGGCTCATAAAATATGCATGCACTAATTCTAGTTAATTCCATTAAAGTAATTAAAATGAGAAAGTTAAAAAATCCATTTGTTGTACCTTATTCCTAAAAACTGTGCCAAGATTAAAAGTGGCCTTGGTTATCAGCTTAAAATAGATTATTATAACTATAATATGTTTAATGTAAGTCCCATGGTAACAACAAAGAAAATACATATGGAAGAGAGACAAAAGAAAGTGAGAAAGGAATAAAAGCATGTCATTACAAAAAAAAAAAAAAAAAAAAAACCCAAAACAAAAAACAAAGAAGAGAGCTAGAAAGAAAAAGAGGGTTAAAAAAATTACAAGACTGACAGAAAACAATTAAAAAAATGTAATGGTAAGGGGGCTTCTCTGGCGGCACAGTGGTTAAGAATCTGCCTGCTAATGCAGGGGACATGGGTTTGAGCCCTAGTCCGGGAAGATCCCATGTGCCGTGGAGCAACTAAGCCCATGCGCCACAAGTACTGAGCCTGCGCTCTAGAACCCGCAAGCCACAACTACTGAAGCCTGTGCACCTAGAGCCTGTGCTCCACAACAAGAGAAGCCACCGCAATGAGAAGCCCGTGCACCACAACAAAGAGTAGCCTAGCCCCCGCTCACTGCAACTAGAGAAAGCACGTGTACAGCAATGAAGACCCAACGCAGCCAAAAATAAAATAAATAAATTTATTTTAAAAAATGTAATGGTAAGATCTTCCCTATCAGTAATTCCTATAAATGTAAATACACTCCCCAATAAAAAAACACAGAGTGGCTGAATGGATTAAAAAAATAAGATCCAACTATATGCTATCTACAAGGGACTCACTTTAGATCTGAGAACACACATAAGCTGAAAGTGAAAGGAGAGAAAAAGATATTCACTGCAAATGGTAACCAAAAGAAAGGACAGTAGCTACACTTATAAAGACAAAATAGACTTTAAGTCAAAAACTGTCACAAGATGGGACTTCCCTGGAGGTCCAGTGGTTAAGACATTGCCTTCCAATGCAGGGGGTGAGGGTTCGATCACTGGTCAGGGAGCTAAGATCCCACATGCCTTGGGGCCAAAAAACCAAACACATAAAACAGAAGAAATATTGTAACAAATTCAATAACAACTTTAAAAAATGGTCCACATCAAAAAATCTTAAAAAAAAATAAACTATCACAAGAGACAAAGAAGAACATTATCTAATAGTAAAAGGGTCAATTCACCAGGAAGACATAACAATTATAAACATACATGCACCAACATCAGAGCATGCAAATATATGAAGTAAACATGGACAGAACTTAAGGGAGAAACAAACAGCAACACAATGACAGTATGAGGTTTCAATAACCCACTTTCAGTAATGGATAGAACATCTAGAGAAAGGACAAAGAAACAAAGGACTTGAACAACACTATATTGCAAATGGACCTAACAAACATATACAGAACATTCCACCCAACAAGAGCACAACGTATATTCTTCTCAAGTGCACATGGAACATCCTCCAGGACAGATCACATATTAGGCCACAAAACAAGTGTTAACAAATTTAAGAAGACTAAAATCATACCAAGTATCTTTTCTGACCACAATGGAATTAAACTAGAAATCAACAGTAGAAGAAAAACTGGAAAATTCACAAATATGTGGAAGTTAAACAACACACTCTTGAACAACCAATGGGTCAAAGAAGAAATCAAAAGGGATTAGAAAATATCTTGAGACAAATAAAAATGAAAACGTACCAAAACTTACGGAATGTAGCAAAAGGAGTATGAAGAGGGAATTTTATAGTAGTAAATGCCTACATTAAAAAAGAAGAAAGGTCTCAAGTAAACAATCTAACCTTACACTTCAAGGAATTAGAAGTGTAAGCCCAGAGTTAGCAGAAGAAAGAAGATGATAAAGATTAGAGTGGAAATAAACAAAATAGAGAATAGAAAAACAATTTTAAAAAGCAATGAAACTGAGTTGGTTTTTTGAAAAGACCAACAAAATTGACAAATATTTAGCTAGACTGACAAAAAGAGAGAGAAGACTCAAATAAGTAAAATCAGTAATGAAACAGGAGACATTATAACTGATGTCACAGAAATAAAAAGATTACGAGAAAACTATGAACAATTATAGGCCAACAAGTTGGATAACCTAGAAGAAATAGATAAATTCCTAGAAACATACAACCTACCAAGACTGAGTCATGAAGAAATAGGAAATATGAACAGTCCAATAATGAACATGGAGACTGAATCAGTTATCAAAAGTTTCCCAAGAAAGAAAATCCCAGGGCCAGATGGCTTCACTGGAGAATTCTACCAGACATTTAAAGAAGGATTAATGCCATTCCTTCTCAAGCTTTTTTGAAAAATTAAAGAGAAGGAAATACTTCAAACTCATTTTATGAAGCCAGTGTTATCCTGATACCAAAGCCAGACAAATACATTACAAGAAAAGAAAACCTCAGGCCAACAGCCCTGATGAATACAGAGGTAAAAATCCTCAACAAAATACTAGCAAGCCAAAATTAATAGCACACTGAAAGGATCACATGCCATGACCAAGTGGGATTTATCCCTGGGATGCAAGGATGGTTCAACACACAAAAATCAATCAATGTGATACACCACATTAACAGAGTGAAAGATAAAGATCACATGATCATCAACAGAAGCAGAAAAAGCATTTGACAAAGTTCAACACTGCCTCATGATAAAAATAATTTTAAAACTAGGATTAAAAGAAAAAATCATCAACATAATAAAGGCTATATAAGAAAAGCCCACAGTTAACATCCTACTAAAAGTAAAAAACAGAAAGCTCTTCCTCTAAGATCAGGAATAAGGCAAGGATGCTTACTCGTACCACTTCTATTCAACATAGTACTGGAAGTCCTAGCTACAGCAATCAGGCAAGCAAAACAGATAAAAGGCATCCAAATCAGAAAGAAGAAGCACAATTATCTCAGTTCACAGATGACATGATTTTATATGTAGAAAACCCTAAAGATTCCACCAAAAAACGATTAGAACTAATAAGCGAATTCAGCAAAATTGCTGGACACAAAATCAATGTATAAAAATCAGTTGCATTTCTATACACTTATAATGAACAATCCAAAACGGAAATAAAGAAAACCACTGGATTGACAATAGCATCCAAAAGAATAAAATACTTAGGAATAAACTTAACTAAGGAGATAAAAACTTCTACACTGAAAACTACAAAACATTGGTGAAATTAATTAAAGAAGACAGGAAAAAAATGGTAAGACAGCCTGTATTCATGGATTAGAAGACAATATTGTTAAAATGTCCACACCACCCAAAGCAATCTACAGAGTCAATATAATCCCTATCAAAATCCCAGAGGCTTTTTTTTTTTTTTTTCAGAAATAGAAAAAACAATCGTAGAATTCATATGGAATCACAGAGGACCCCAAATAGCTAAAACAACCTTGAGAAAGAAGAACAAAGCTGGAGGCCTCATATTTCCCGACTTCAGAACATATTAGAGATCTACAAAAGTATGGTACTGGCATAAAGACAGATATATAGACCAACTGAAAAAAATAGACAGCCCAGAAATAAACCCAAGCATACATAGTCAAATGATCTTCAAAATGGGAGCCAAGACTACACAATGGGGCAAGTATAGCCTCTTCAACAAATGGTGTTTCTTAAAACTAGATATCCACATGCAAAACAATACAATTGGACCGTTATATTACACCATAGACAAAAATCAACTCAAAATGGATTAAAGACTTAAATGTTAAGGGCTAAAATTATAAAACTCCTAGAATAAAACACAGGGGAAAGCTTTATAACATCGCTCTTGGCAATGATTTTTTGGATATGATACCCAAAGCACAGGCAGCGAAAGCAAAAACAGACAACATTAAACTCAAAAGCTTCTGCACAGCAAAGGAAACAATCAACAGAGTGAAAAGGC